CGAGGTCAAAACTTAGGATTTTTCGAAGAATACGATCATATATGAAAACATAAAATATACCATCAAGTATATGTTGTGATAGAAGAGATTTGAACTCTCAATCTCATAAACGAACACTCTATAAAAAACTCACTTATCGTTACATCAATCCATTGTTTACGGTTAAACCGTATGACTAATGTTCATGATATGGTCTCCAATAGTTAATTTTACTAGCATTAATTAAAGTGGCTTGAATTTTAAAATCATATCCGATATGATTATATGATCATAATCATAACACATGTCTTTATGTTCCACCCAAAGATGGTCTAATTAAGAATTCGTCCCGAACGAATAATCTCGGCTAACCGTCAATGGCCACCATGACTAGACAAGACCTATCTAATATGTCTAGATAGATGATCCAAATAAAAAAAAAATGTCATTCAACCTACTTAGAAGACCAAAAGAACATTCATTCAATGAAGGTGTGGCTTTCCGAAATATCCATGTCATTTCCTCACTAACTATGACTCCACACATATTGTTAGACAACGACCATCGTCTAAAAGAGTTCCAAACCTTCAAGTGGATGTTTGAAATTATTGAACTCAAAGAGAAAGATTGTTTAAACCTCCATACTATGAAAATTGATCATCTCTTCTCTCATACGTTTTAACCTCCACACTATGAAAGTTGATCACCCCTTCTCTCATATAAAGGCTAGCAATCAAAAGGTTTTATGTCTTGCATTCTAAACTCAAAATAGTTATATTATCAACTATCTTCTACATATAAGATCTAGTCTTTTACAATTTACTCATGCTAAGAACCTCTCTTTATAAGCTAACTTAGCTATCAAAGGTTCCTCCAACTATTAAAAGAGGACTTCTTTTGTAAGCACTCATCATTGAATCAACATTCATCAAGCTATAATCATCGTATGATCATCCTATGTTGGAAGTCACCTCATCAATAATCATTATCTAAGGATCATTACCTTGTTAGTGGTGTCATCTGTGGAAACCCGAGTAAAAAGCCAATTCCTAACTCGTTTTTACTTTTTTAATATCAAGTTTTCATCTATAGTCGACACTAAGAAAACTAGAACTCGCTTAACTTCTTTTGATTTTGCCGGTCTCAATATTCTACTAGTCAACGTTCTCTAATTACAACGATGCATCGAAATTTTAAAAGAGGCATATATAACGATGCAAGAACAAATAAGATCTCTAACTACACCCTTATCAACACTTCAAAAAGGACAAGCGCCCTTACGTCCATGACCTATAGAGGCCTTCGCATCGTCACGGGTTATTTCCTATATGGACTCCTTTTGCTAAAACGAGACCAACTCGATACTCGGATGAAGAAAAAAATGCCAAGCACGAGTGGATGAGGTCGTGAAAAAGGAATGTCGTCATTCTCTAAAACCATAAAAAATTCACTCTTGTTGCGAGTAATAACGATTCGAGTAGCTAGGGCTCATATAAAGACAAAAAGAGAGATTGATGAATAGAATATTGCCATAGTGCCAAAAATAGGCACAAAAAACCAATGCGAGAAAGCAACATATAAGCGAGTTCCTCTTTCTTTCAAACCTCATTAGTGAACCCGAAACCTAAATGCTAGCAAACTAAAAAAGATCTATTGCCATCATTTAGCCCAAGATAGACTATTACAACCATATGATCCAAGCTTCCCCACTTGCTACCAGCATCTTGAATGTGAGGCTCCTAAATGAATTCTTTGTCAAAAAGATGAATTTAGATTAAAAGTCACCTCATCAACAATCATAATAAGAGGATCACTTCGTCAAAATCCTTTCTTTTTCGACAACCAAAAGAGAACTCCAAAACTTGCTCTAATTTTTAACATGCTAGCTATATTGTTCTCACACATGCTAAATAGTCCGCAAACACCCCATTGTCAGAATTTAGTGTGATCTTTCTATGTTTTCTTTCAACTAATAAAAATTATTGAATTCTAATGTATTTTGATTAATGATGTTATACATATCGTGGATCAACTCCTCTCGTTTTAGTGTTCCATCTTTTTCTATTTTTTTATTACAGTTTATTGAGAGGTCGATTGGCTTCATGATATATAATAGACATAATTTTAATCATTACATAATAATTAAATAGACCAAAATCATCATCATCCGAACATGTTTTTTACTTAATAAAATTACTTGATACACCATTATCTCTACCTATAAAATCTTATTTTTTAGAAGGATCATTGGGAATTCTTATCATACAAATTGCATCAATTATTATCAAAAGAAATTGATCCAACACATGTCCCTCGATGCGGGTTGATTTTTCTTTCTCTTTTTTTAATATATCTAAGTAGTACCTTGTTTAAATTGAAATATATACGTCAAAAATCGCACCCCAAGAAATAAGTGTTACTTAAGTTTTGAAAAAAGAGAATACATATGATTTTTGAATAAATTATAAATTAATCTCTCTCATTTTGATAAACAAATTAATTAGTTCTTTTTTTTTCAAAAACTAATTATTTAGTATTTTTTTATCCTTTTTATATTTTTTAATAAAAAATAAATAGATATTATAAAAAGATGAGGTTTTTTCAAAATAACATAATATTAAATTAAGCATCGTTAAAACCGATTAATTGATTGAACAATTAATTTTTGAAATAAAAATGACTAATTAAATAATTTTTCAAGAGTAGAGGGACTAACTTATAATTTACTCTTATGGTTTGTAATATACGAAGGGATAAAACAAGAAAGGACGGGTTGGTTCAATGTTGCCAAACAAAGGAGGGGACAGAGTCCAACTAATGTCCCATTCGGCACTCAAAGTCCAATACTGATGAGTTATGTCTTGCTTCATATTGACCAATGACCACGGGAAGAATCTAATACGGACTTCATCATCTGGGTTTCTCTTTTTCTTGTTTTACAATTGTACCCTTCACCTGCTAGACGTGGTCAAATGAGTTCTTTTGGAATTTTTGTTTCAATTCGAGCAAGTGAACATGGGTATCCTTTCAATACGATCCATCTGATTCCAACCAAGTCAATCAGTTTCTCTTTGAATCAAAAGTTATCGAGGAAAATGTTATTTATTTATTATTATTTATTTTTTTTTTAAATTTGTAAAATGGTTTGTAAATATGAAGTACTTTTCAATGTTACACTCTGTAATTTCTAACCCTTTTAACAATAAAAGTTCCTTTCCAAAACTGAATTGAGTAGATAAAGTACATTGCTGTGCCCTCTAGACATTTTTTTTAAAATTTTTTTTGAACTGACACTATAAATTCAAATTAAACTATTAAGCAAATAACATAGATCAATGAATTAACTTGTGATTTGTTAATATTTTTAGAAAAATAAAAGTCTGGATTTGAGTGAGCGGGAAGCGAAATTATCCGGAGATAATACTTTCATTATTAGGTAAATAGCAGTGCAAATTAGAGATGTAATAATCAAATTGCCTTAACCTGCAAATCATTAAATTGTTAAGATGATTCACTACGAGGTGATTAATCACTTTGACCGGTTCATGTAGTATTATATTCCTTAGCTATGGAATTAAAAAACCACCCCATAATCCAAGAAGTTGGTTTTAATGAAAGAAATTCTAATGTTTTAAAGAAATATTTTTAAATTTGAGTTATTGTATTTATATAGAAAGCTTATTAAATAAACGTGTCTGTTTTATACATCCTTTAAAACAACGATGAATTAACCAGAATTTTTTAACTTAAAATATCTTGAAGATTAAATAAATAAATAAAAAACACTCCAGGTCCCATTTATTGGAGCCAAATTTTCAAATGAAAGAAACAATAAAATGAATACGATGAACTGAGTATTTGATATCAATGGTAAAAATAGTAGTAATAGGGTAAGTTTTTGAAGCGGTAGGGTTTTTTGAAACGGGAGAGAAATATGTAAATTTATTAACTAAATGTAAGTTAAAATTAACTATTAATATATAAAATTTTTTAAAATAAATAGTGCAAACCACATATTTCCTCGGCTTTTGACTTTTCAACACGAAGTTTACATGAGTTTCACATAAATTTTTTCTTAACATAATAAAAAAATCTAATGTCATCCTTTATTCTGAATGAAATCTAATTTTGATTAAGATTCATGTTTATATGTATCTAAAAAAAGAAAAATTATTTTTGCAAAAAGATATAAAAAAATCCTAACAATTATTAAATTATACACGAACGGAGTTGAAATAAGGATTCTAAAATAATTCATAATAAAAATACTATTTTTTTCTCATCAAGTAAAATATAAAAATTTCAAAAGTAAAACTGATAATGCACTGTATGTGGTAAAAAGAAATTATTAAAATTCAAAAGTAAAACAGATAATGCATTATATGTGATAGAGATAAATTCTTAGATATATCAAAAGTTGTATTTTACTCCATCACAAAAACATGATATCTATTATACAAATAATTCAATATATATATATTTGTAAAAGAAAGAAATACACTTCTCCATATACTTAATAATTTCTCATGTGATAGAAAAAAATAATAACAATATACAAAAAAAATTTAATAAAAAAAATGATGATTTTAAAATTACCATAAATCTTCTCATAATAAAATTCATTATTCTGTCAAACAAACCATGGACTATACCAACCAACAATTGCAACAGCCAACTAGCACTGAAAGGTACACAAAAACATCAATTAAACTGCACTTCAACCATAAAATGGTAATAAAATTGTCAGGTGAATAAGGAAATAAATAAAGGGGCAAATGGGCTTTTTACGAAGATGTAAATATAACCAAAGTGAAGGGCAAAATAGATAATAAAACTGCTACATTCCCCCCCCCCTCTCTCTCTCTCTCTCTCTCTCTCTCTCTGCTCTCATTCTTCTTTCTTGACTCTAACCTGTCAGGTGTCGTGCTTCTTTATAATTAAAACTCCCTCCCTGTTACTCTTTCTCTCTCTGTTTTTCTCTGAACTACTGAAAACCGAAGAGAAACAAACTTATTACCGCAATGCAGGTAGGTTAATTTTAAGTTAAAGTTTCTTGAATCAGTAAAAAAGAGAAGAAGCCTAAGTTAGGGACCTTTTTTTATTTGTTTGCTGAGAAAGTGGTTTTTGTATGTAGACAAGGACAGTAGAAGTGAAGAATGTATCAGATCTAGCAAGTGAGAGAGAGGTTTACGAGTTCTTCTCCTTCTCTGGCGAAATCGAACACATTCACATCCAACGGTACTTCTTTATTTTTTTCTATTTGTGTTTGCTTGCTGACAAAGTGAACGAAACTGGATAACTGGATCTGGGTTCTTAAATTTGTACGTGTTTAGTTTAGTATTAGTGTCTCTCTCTCTTAATTTTTCTCGTGTGATTATTTTGGGACTTTCTTTAAAGAATATAAGGCAATGTGGAATGATGTTGCTAAATTTATTTCTGGGTTTCCTAGTTAAGATAGGAAAAGAAAGGAAGTTGAATTATTTGTGTGTTTATGTTCGCTTAATTGACATTGTGGTTTTGTTGGGTGCAGTGAAAATGGGCAATCAAAGACTGCATTTGTCACATTCAAAGATCCTAAAGCGCTCGAAATTGCATTATTGTTGTCGGTGCGTTCACTAGTTTTTTTTTCCTTTTCTTTTTACCTTGCATATTCTAGTTGATTTCTATTAGGAATTTATATGAGTTATGTAATGGACATTAATCTCTGTAATTTGAATTCGAAGAATTGGTTTTTTTTCCCTCTAAACTTTCAGCAATTGAATGCTTTTCTTTAATTCTACCCTGTAGATGGTCCCTTATGATGTGTCCATTGGAGATAGATTGTGTATATGTTTTTTTAGTATCAATTATTGGAAATATCTAGATAAACTGATTTGAAATTTTGTTGATTTTCATTGTTGATTTTTGTTCAAGGAAGACCTTGTTTTGAAAAGTAGAGCGTGCCAGTCGATGTTATGTTATCATCTCTTTTGTAATGAAAGAAGAATATATCCTTTAGAAAGGGAAGGGGAGGGGGGACAAAATAGCACAAAAAAATAAAAGGATGAACAGGCTTTTGTTCATGCTGATTGTATTGTGGAGTAGAAGAAGTTGACTGTTGCTACAAGAAATTGCGACTCTCTCACTTAAGCTGTCAGTAATTCCTTTGATGGAATGTTAACCACACCTTTTGAAATGTCAATTTCTAGAAAGTTTGTATATGTTGCATAACGTAGTTTGGAAGGGCATATTTTTTGGGTCTTGAGCTTGCAATTGGCAATCCCTTTCTATTTGAAATGATCATTTGAGTAATCATTATGCACAGTGAAGCTGTAGAGCGTAAAATTTGTGTGTTTGTGATGCAGGGAGCAACTATAGTAGACCGACTAGTGAGTATAACCCCTGCTGAAAATTATATACCAGATTGCGAGCTACAGGTGTTTCCACTATCAAGTTATTCAAATCTCTTTCAAGTGATTTTGCTAAATGTTTATATTCTCAAGTGCAATTTATGCAGAAAGTTAGGAACGTGGACATTGCTATATCTGTAGCTCCTTCAGAAAACTTCCCGTCAAATGTTGAGGTAGTCAAAATTGCCAGTGCTAATCTTTCTTGAAGTATTCTTACACATATTGATCTATTCTATGGGGGATGTGAGGGACTGTTGATAACTGTAAAAACTTCGCTGCTACGGAGCAATTACATTTGTGATTGTTGTCTTATATTTGCAAATGGATTTGATTAAATACTGGAAATACCTAGTTGCTACTTGCTCATCTTTTATGATTGAGGAAGATGGATCTTGATCCTCAATAATGTTGGCTCTTTTGTCTTCACTAGCCATTATCCGTTTTTCTTGTACTTTAGGGTGATAGGTGGTTCGTGAACCTGTATATTTGTCTCTCTAAGAGCCTGTTTACTTATAATAAAATATGGTGGCTTTTGAGTAGTTAAGATAACCTCAGTTCTTGTCTAGTGATTTGGGCCATAAAAAATTTATCTTTCATCTTCATTGTATTAATGTTATTCTGTCTCTCTTAGCAGGGGAAAACTAGCCCTTCTGGCAATGGAAAAGTCTATACGAGTAGAGCGCAAGAAGTTGTCACAAGTATGCTAGCAAAAGGTTCATCAATTGGCCAAGATGCAATGAATAAGGCCAAGGCATTCGATGAGAAACATCGTTTGAGTGCCAGTGCATCTGAGAAGGTGATTTCCTTTGATCGGAGAGTTGGGCTAACGGAGAAACTGACGGTTGGAATTTCAGTAGTTAATGAGAAAGTGAAGTCTGTTGACCAAAGGCTTCATGTCTCGGATAAAACAATGGCAGCAATATTTGCAGCAGAAAGGAAGATAAATGACACAGGATCAGCTGTAAAATCAAGCAGGTAGATTCTTTTCGTTGAGTTTGTATTCTCTAGTTTTTTTCATGTTGACAATAGCATTTTGTTTGACTGGGATTGGTTGATGTCATTCTATCCGGGTTTTCCAACCTATTGGCATGGATACCCTTGCACCTTGTTTCTTGTTGTTTCAAATAATGGATACTAGATGAAATGTGCTTTGATAACTCTGATTTTGCCATTTTTTACGTGCATCATGGAAGATGTGGTGGAAAGTTTAGGAGCAGTAATTTCATCACTGGAGGCATGGCTTATAAAATGCATCATGATGTCTTTATTTATTTATCTCGCAATGCATGATTCCTTGGTTTTGAGAAGTATTTCGATTCCAATAATTCTTCAAATAAGCTACTTTTTTTTTTTTTTTGATGAATAAATATAAATATGCTGCCTTCTACAAAGCTGTAGCATTTTATGTATGGTGGGAAGAAAACACTTTATCAGTGCAGTTGTGAGTCTTGTCGTGCATGCTTTAGTTGTAATCCCAATTACCTGTTAACTTGCTTGAAAGAATTTCTCTGGTGGTTCAGAATAAATAGGGTGGTAAAACTGGTCACTATTAATATTTTTGCCATTTTGTGTAAGCCAGTGAGCTCTTTTTGGCCTCAATGAATCTGTGTTTTTTTTTTTTCGCATTTCAACAGGGCATGCCATTACACCACTTCTCTTGGGATTTTATTTTGAGGATGTATTTTGCATATTTATTGCACACATTAAAATCTGGTGAATGCCCTTTTTGTTCCAATGGATTCTTATCGAGATCTGTCTGAGTAGAACCTAAGCTTTTTAGGAAAATACACAACTTTCTTGCAGTTTTGAAATTATCAGATGACCCCAAAAAATGATCTAGTGTCTACCCTCTTGTTTTTCTTCAAGAACCTCTTTTTTATAAGAGACAATGGACCGACTTTGAATACAATGTTGTCTTTGTTAGTCCTCCTCATATCATCAACCTCAGCCCCTTTTTTTTTTTTTTTTTTAATGTAAACAAGTTTTGGCTTCTCTATTTTATGATCATTAATTTTCACTGCAATATTATCCTTTGACATTTGATTTTGGTTTTAATTACACCAATAAAATAAAAAATGAAACATTTGAGTTCTGTTCTGATTTGGGACAGGTATGTGAGTGCTGGAACAGCATGGCTAAATGGTGCCTTTAGTAAGGTGGCAAAGGCTGGGCAGGTTGCTGGTACAAAAACAAGAGAAAAGTTCAATTTGGCTGTTTCGAATTTAACTACAAAGGTAGGTTCTACTGGTGGAGCTAATAATATTAGATGGACTTTAAAAATCATCGTTTTATATATTAATTCATATGTCATGATCATAAGATATAATATCTTTGTAGTTCAATGTCGCTGTAAATTTAGAATCTATGATGGGTTCATCCTGATGTCAAAAGGCCATGAAGCCATTTATGTGCTTAGGGTGACAGAAAATTATCAAATGGCTTTATTGTTAGTGGTGGTCTTGGCATTGTTGAGGATAAGTTGAGCGTCAAATTGACGTATTGGAGGAGACGAGAGGAAGTGGCAGGCTAAAGCCCAAAATTAAGAAACAACAATATAAAAGCAAGGGAGAATGACACCCGATAGCATCCTGGAGGAGGATGGTAGGAAGATTTTTAGTGTTAGGGAGCAAGGGAATCAAGGAAAGGGAACGGAACAGAAGGCTCTCACCCTGTTTGGATTCATAATTGGAAAATGAAAGCCAAAGAATTTTCTTTGTTTGGTTAGAGAATGAGAGGGAGAGAAAATTATTATCACAAATACGTCCTTAGGGTGGAATTTTCTAAGTAAATTATAAGGTTATAATTGGAAGTTTGGGTCCATAAGTTATGCAGTTACTCACCTGATAGCAACTCCAATTTTGTTTTGTGAATTGCAGGAATCTCCAATTCCTGTATGAGCCAGAAATTCAATGTCAGCTGAAAGTTTCTTTTGTTGCATGCATTTAACTGCTATGTTGTTCCAATCATCAAATTGGGAGAACAGGATGTATTGAATTTGGAGTCGCTGGCTTGGTGAAGGACGAGAGTAATTTGTGCAGTGTTCCCTCTACGCATTCGTCTATGGTTTGATTCATGTGTGTCAATTCAATTCCGTTCTTATAAATTTTTCAAATTCTTTTGGTTCCTAGGGTATTATGTGCCTGTGGCTTCCTTGTAATTTTGTAGTTTGCAACATTGTTTTTAAGTCAGAATGAAAATTCAACAAGAGGAAATGCTACCACTCCCTGTTACCAATTTATGGTCTCGTTTTCCTCAGTTCCTAGTGTTCTTTTGAAATGGATGTCTGGGTTTAGTAGAAGCTTGATTGGCAATTTGGAGTCATTGTTTTGTAAGAATTAGAGTATTTGTGGAATATAATGAGCAGGGAGAATTTTTTGTCTTGTTTTACTAGAGCTATTGGGTATGGCCTGTGTTTGTGCTGTTAATTCTTAGCTAAAAACCCAGCTTCCTCTTGTTTAAAACTCCAACTTCCTCGATTTGCTTGACAATATTCTCCTCTGCTTGTTCCTTTGCCAGATTAAATGCATGTAAAAAAGAAAAGTTGTGGCATTTCTTTCATGTGAAATGCTCATTGAAGAGAAAATAGTAAATACATCAAATGAATAAGAAAGGCTGCCTTTTTCAATTTTATTAATGTTATCAAGTTCTGTCCAGACAAATACATGCTATCCTGTAATGTGTTTTTTGTTGTTTAAAATTTGTGGTCAGTGACAACTTTGCTGACTGTCACAACCTTATTATATATTTGAAAGAATATGCTCATGTATGCCAAAAACTCACGTAAAAAACAAAAAGCAAAAAATGAAAAAATCCGGAAGGACATTGGTGGTTGGAGATCTCAGAGCTGTTTTTGCAACAAGATAGTTTATATAAGAAGCCGAAGCAGAGTCTTGGCTGCTACGTCCAGGTCCAGCTGCTATAAATTTCTGACAAATTTATTTAAGATCATACTTGTCGGCCCAGCCAAGGTTCCTGGTGTACGGTGATCCGTTTTGATTATATATATATATATATATATATAAGATTCACGTGCAGTGTGATAGAGATTCAAAATCCATCATTCCATCTCCTACAAAATTGATTTTTATTAATAAATTCGATATATATAATATATATATATTGTGATGGGACTTCATTAAAGCTATGTATATAATATATGACATGTGATGCCAAACGGTTCAAGCGGTGAAAGTTGGCCTTTGGTCATCCTTTGGCGATTGCTTTGAAGATCATATAACGCCCCTTTCAAAATCCATGTCATAGCTGTTAATTAGCAGTTGAAGGTTCGCATGGGAATGATTAAAACAAGAAGGAAGTACGTTGGAAGAGTTGTTTTTGTTGATTTTTAATTTCATACGAAGTTGATTTTGTGGTTTTCACGCCAATGCCAAGCATGCTACACCACATTTTGCCCACATGGATTGAATCCGGAACTTAGCCCACTAGTTAATGTTTGTTTCCTACCATATTACCTCCTTTTAGATAAGATCTTGTATTTGTTTGATGTAGAGTCATAGCATTCAATCAGACCATTATTTCTTTTATTTTTCAAATGATGCACCTGTCCGTTACATTTACAGAAACAATACAGTTAAGCACAACAATTTTATCTGGATAAATTATTTTTCAACCGGAAAAAAAATTTACAGTAATATAAAATATAAGGATAAGGTTAGCAAAACTTCGGACTACATTGGAGAGAACTAATTTGAATGGTTTGGATAACCTTCATTTATTTTTTATTTTTCTTGTTTGTGCCAATTATGTTTTTTTTTTTTTTTTTGTTAAAATATTTATTCAATAAGCTCTTGGATTATCTCGTTTTATCTCGTTTTGTGAAATTTTATTTTATTGAAAGCCAAAAATTTAAAATACTGGAGAATTAATTATTATATATTTATAATAGTTATTTTATGGGCTTATTTTTGAAGAGAGATAGAAAAAAAATTCTGAATTTACAAAAATTACTTGATTTTTTTTTAGACTTTTCTCCTAAGTTGACTGGTATGGGTTAAACAGAAATATCTAACAAAAGTTACAAATATTATACCAATTTAGATAAAAATTAGATAACACAAGAGCTAATTCACTAAAAAAAAAAAGAGTTTTCCATTTTTTAAGATTGGAAAGAAGAAGAAAAAATCACATACCGGAATTACTCAAATTACATTTTTCTTTTCTTTATTTAACTTAACTTATAAACAATTTCACCCACAACCATTTATCAATCCGTCCAAAATTCATTGGGTCTTGAACTTTTCAGTGTCTTCCTTTTTTTTTTTTTTTAAGCAAAACATAATAATGTAATGACATCATTTTCTTTTAATGGGTTTAAAATAAATAAAAAAAATCAAAAGGAGCTAAATGCATTATTTTGGAATATTAATGGTCTGCCTAAAACGATCCAAAAAAGAAATTTAATGTGAGAAGGTTGACTTCAATATAAGTTACAAAAAGAGAGAAAAAAAAAAACAGCACCAAATTATTTACCTACGTACTAGGTAATCGACAATTTCTCAGTAACAAACGGCAGATAAAAGGGGACTTCCAGCTTTCCTCAAGCCGGCAAAACACCAACCCCCTACTCCTCTGTTACTGTTAGATCTTTCCTCTACGCTAGTGCCACGTGTCATCCAGAGAGACACACGGACACGCACTCTTTTTACCTTACGTGTTCAAACTTCAAAGACAACAACCGTCGAAACCGTACTCTAGGACCCAACGACATCAATCTTTGAAAAGTGCAAGGACATTTTCGTCACTATGGTTAAATAAAATTCCCAAAATGACCTTCCCTTGAAACGCCCGGTTCCTCTCTCTCTTAAATACCGGGCATGCCCTTGCTTGGTATATTCTCTGTTTCGATGCTCTTGTTCTAACAGAAACCAAGCGCCTCCTATATAGTCTCTATTTCTTATTGGATTCTCTCTTCCATATTCACTCGTGTTTTTCTCAAGTTACAAGTTCAAGGTGAAGATTTTTCTTTTTAGTTTTTAATGTGTTTTGTTCATTTTACTGCAATCAATGCCATTTTTTTGTTGGTTTGTTGGTTTGTTTGTTTGTTTTTTTTTTTTTTTTTTTTTGAGAAATCATAAATGGGTCATTGATTTTTTACTTGTTTAATGTTAAAGATTGAAACTTTTCTTGGTGGGTTTTTATTTTTATGATTGGTAATGATTAAAAATTGCATGTTTTAGTGGATCTGAGTGTTTGATGGAGTGGTTTTGATTGTCAAAATCTATGATGAGTTATTAACTTTGCTTCTTTTTGTTGATTGGAGTGTAAATGATGTAGTGAGTTGGCCTGGGAATTTTTATTTTTCTGTTGCTGTCCTCATTTTTCAACTAGTTGGTAATTGATAACTGGTAAGAGAAGAATTTTGTTTTAGAAATGTGTTAGTCTAGGCCAATGTGTGATCTTATTCCATAAGATTCAATTTTTGACTAAATTTATTTAATCGGTTCTTTTGATATTTTGGATTTTTAAAATGTGATCATTCATTTCTGTGCCATTTTTGGGATATATATATATATATATATATATATATATATATATATATATATATATATATATATATACTTGAGCAATCTCATTAGTTTTCATGCTCATAATTTTTATTAGATGATAAAAGTGCATGTAATTTCTTTCCGATTTCTTTTTCTTGTAAGTAAAACTTATGTCCAGCGATGGATCTTCATAATGACGTTTGGCATCACCTAGAAATATTATAATGAAGTGCTTCATTTAGTATTTTTGTGTCGAGAGGGTCCACCTTCCTTTTTCTTCTTCCAATTAAAAGAGAAAAAAATGTCCTCTTTCATACTCTTGTTAGATGCTCTTTCATTTTCTTTTTGCTTAGTGTGCTGATTTTTGTGCCCTATTCCATCCAATTCACTTCAATAGTTAATTATTTACCATAGGAAGCATATTTTTACTGACAGAGAAATTTGGTAATGCAGTGTCCTACTGAGCTTGATGAGTGGTGATGGGCGTTTGTGAATGGTTGCTGGAACTGCTTTCTGTTCATGGTACAGATGGTGATTATAGGAGTCGTTTAGAAGTTTGTTGATTCAATTTTTTATTTAGATGGAAATCACTTTTTGATGCTCTTGATTTTTAAATTGGAAAATCAGTTATAACATGGACTAGAAAGATTTTATTTCAAGGGCCAGATGCTTTTTTAATCGGGTGGTAACTTGTTATAAGGACTCTGGATCTGGCTCTTGACATTAATTGGGCAAAACAGATTTACAGTTAAGCTGTATCTTGAAGCTCTGAGCTACAAGTAATAAATTTCTGTCAGTTAAGAAGAGTTCCTTAGGTCATCTGAAAATGGAGGTCCTGGTTTCACCACAAGGACAACGACATAATTTGCATATGGCTGGTCAGAAATTTTCCTCTGGTGGTTCGCAGAAGGATCTGTGGCATGTTGTGAGAGATGGATCCTTGGCTGATGTAGATTCAGCATTGGCACTACTTAAGAAGAATGGAGGAAATATTAATGCGAGAAATGTGTTTGGCCTGACTCCGCTTCATATTGCAACCTGGAGAAACCACGTTCCCATTGTTAAGAGGCTTCTCATAGCTGGCGCTGACCCTGATGCTAGGGTGTGTCACCTTTCTTACCCCTCTGTTTATTTGATTATTCTTACAAACATAAGCATGTTTTATATGGTGATAGAGTGTAACCTCCCACCCTGCCTTCCTTTTTTCCTTATTTTTGTTCTAAATTTTCGATGTGTGTACATGTGTTCTGCATAATATATTGGTCATTTGAAAGCTCTATGTTAAGCTACTTGGAATCCTTTGGTATTGGACCCTTGATGATAATAAGGAATGTATAAACGGAATTGTTGCAAATGAGTGTTGTGCTCTGCTCGATATGGTGTACTTCAGATCATTTAATTAATCTGGACATGTAATGGAGATTAGGATATAAGTCCATTCTGTCTATATTGAGCAATGATGTAGATTTATAGGAGTGAGTAAGAATTGATGAAAGGTGAAAGATGATGATGAATATTAGAGATTAAAGAGGAAAACTAGGTGGTTGTGCATTTTTATTAAGTTCAGTGTAGAAGTCATTATTGATATTTTGTAAGGGAACTTATTGCCATTTGTTGGTCTAAAGCAACTCTTTTTATGGAACCACAATAGTAAAACATGATTTGTTCATGGAGGGGCATATGAGATCAATGGGTCCATGCTTTAACATGACAATTCCTGTTCCACTTCATGTCTCATCACATTCTTCATTCATTCCATTATATGACAGTGTAACAAAACTGACTTGCAGAAACTATTACTTAATCAATAGGGTAAAGCTATCATTAAGTTTTTGTTCCCAATCGATGCATGTTTCAATGCTCTCTATTATGTTGGTAAGCAATTTACAGGTCCCTTTTTGTTTTTTTTCAAATATTTTTAAGTTCTACGAATGAGATGCTTGCAACATTGTGGGTGATTCAGAAGTGTTGCTTCCGGATATACTGAATGTATGTTTTATTGCTGAGATTATATTTAACTCCTTGTATAACTCTTAACATTTTCTATTTCTCAGGATGGAGAATCAGGATGGAGTAGCCTTCACAGGGCTTTGCATTTTGGTCATCTTGCAGTTGCAAGTATCTTCATTCAGTCTGGTGCTTCTATTACATTGGAGGACTGTAAGTCCCGTACACCAGTCGATCTCCTGTCTGGCCCTGTATTGCAGGTCATCAGAGATGGTTTTAATTCGGGTAAATTGCAGCTATGTCATACATGATTGATGAGGGTCTCGTTGTTCTTGCAAATCCAATGCCATTTCTTTTGCGGATAACCTTTGAATTATCATTTGTCTTCAGTGGCTACCGAGGTGTTTAGTTGGGGAAGCGGTGCCAATTATCAACTTGGAACTGGAAATACTCACATACAAAAGCTACCTTGTAAAGTTGATGCTCTTCATGGCTCTTTTATTAAATTAGTCTCTGCTGCCAAGTTTCATAGTGTAGCAGTCAGTGCCAGTGGAGAAGTCTACACCTGGGGATTTGGGAGAGGGGGCCGCCTTGGGCATCCTGACTTTGATATCCACAGGTATAGTGTTAATTATTTGACACACTATCCATGCTTTCGTTCAAATATGGCTTGAAGTTTCAAAGCGGTCAATTCACTTTCATATTTGTGCCACTTCTATGTGGAAACTTGCTGAACTCTAGACATTAAATTTCATTTATTGGGTAATTTTATATGCAATATTGTGTGGACTTTTCATGCAATACTGATTTTCTAGACTTCTCTTGTTCTGTTTTTATCCCTATCAATGCCTTGATTTCAAATGATTGAGGTATAAGTGGAAGAAACGGACATTGTTGTTCAAGTTTTAGTGCTTCATAAAATAGGGAAAGCTCAACTTTGGTACTAAGCTTTTTCTTCTTCTTGTTTTTTTTTTTTTTCTTTTTTTTTTTTAAATCCTGCATGTTGAACTTGTGAAAATCATCTTTTCTTGTTTGTTCTTTCAGCTTACAGTGATTTCTGTGAAACTTATGTGAATGAACAATCAGATGCATTTTATTTTATTCTTTTCAGTGGTCAAGCTGCAGTTATCACTCCCCGTCAGGTGACTTCTGGTTTGGGGTCCCGCCGGGTGAAGGCAATTGCAGCTGCTAAACACCACACTGTTCTTGCTACAGAGGGTGGGGAAGTTTTTACCTGGGGATCCAATAGAGGTAATAATTAACAAGTTTCTATCTATGTATGTGACAGTTTTCTGTGCATCAGATATCTGATTCTGAACTCCCGGCTCTGTGTCACCATTTAATTCTAATCACTTACCTACTATTTATGGAATGGAATGGACGGGGAATATGGATATTATCAGCCCCTAGTTGATGGGCTTTTGGTTTTAAGTATTCAAATTAGTGAATGAGGAATAATGGTTATCTTCTTATGGCATTTTTTTGTTCTTCATTTTCTGAAGTATTTACCTGTATGATCTGATTTTCTACAGAGGGTCAGCTTGGGTACACTGTGGACACTCAACCAACTCCTCGTAGGGTGAGTTCCCTTAGGGCAAGGATTGTTGCTGTTGCTGCTGCAAACAAACACACTGCTGTAGTGTCTGATTCTGGTGAAGTTTTCACTTGGGGTTGCAATAGAGAGGGTCAACTTGGGTATGGAACCTCTAACTCAGCATCCAATTACACACCAAGAGTTGTTGAGTGCCTGAAAGGCAAAGTTTTGACAGGAGTTGTGGTGGCAAAATACCACACTATTGTACTGGGTGCTGGTGGAGAGGTAGCTTTGAGTTGAATTGCTTCATTTCTTGTTTGCTTTTTGGCTTGTAACTCTTAACCGGAGGCAGCACTGCATCATTCCTTTTATTGTCACTTAGGATTCCCGAATAACTCATTGTTCAATTTGTAAATCTTATTGTATGGCAGGTGTACACTTGGGGTCACCGCCTGGTTACACCAAGACGTGTTGTCATTGCTAGAAATTTAAAGAAAAGTGGGAATACTCCTTTGAAATCTCATCGAATGGAACGGTTTCATGTGGCTGCTATTGCTGCAGGGATGGTGCATAGCTTGGCTCTAACAGATGATGGCACATTATTTTATTGGGCATCTGCAGATCCTGATCTTAGATGCGAACAGGTTTTATTTTGAAAGACTTGGTGTCTGTTGATTTTTAACTCATTTTGGAACTCAGAAATGAAATATCGTCTCTCTTACTATCTCCCTTTGTTTTGCAGCTGTATTCACTGTGTGGAAACAATATGGTTAGCATTTCTGCAGGAAAGTATTGGACTGCTGCAGTTACAGCTACAGGTGATATTTACATGTGGGATGGGAAAAGGGGGAAAGATGAGCCACCAGCTGTCACTCGATTACATGGTGTGAAAAAGGCCACTTCAGTTTCAGTTGGTGAAACACATTTATTGATTGTTGGTTCCCTCTATCATCCTATCTATCCACCCAGTGGTGACAAAAGTCCTAAAAAACAGATGTTGCAAGTTGGGGATGAAATAGAGGAGCTTGAAGAAGATATTATGTTTAGTGATGCAGAGTCTGATCATATGCCATCCACTGTAGAGAAGAATGATTCTTTCCAGAAGTCCGTTCCAAGCTTAAAAGCTCTTTGTGAAAAAGCAGCAGCAGAAAGTCTGGTTGAGCCACGAAATGTTATACAAATGCTTGAAATTGCTGATTCACTTGGAGCAGAAGAACTCAGGAAGCATTGTGAGGTATGTTAGTCTTTGCGGATTCCTGAATCTTATACAATGAGCTTCAACTTGTCCTTAGATTAAATGTGATTCCAGCCATTTAGTAGACTGTTCACATAAAGCAAACATTTTTGTGGAGAAACCTGATTTACTGTACAGCAGTGCTTCATTCTATTCAAGGTTACTTGGCTATTGCTCTAGGGTCATCCTGGAGCTTTCCTTTGCCTTCTTTGAAACTTGGTTTGAAGAGAAAACCATCCTTTCTCCTTCTAAACTTTTTTTTTTACTGGACTAGTCACCACCTGAGGCCTGATCTGTTAGGGGTGGTTGAATTACGCAAGGGCTTGTCTAGCTGGCTTTCTAGGGATTCTTATAGTGGTAGAAATTCTTTTTAAGTAGTTTATAACTGGTGCATTATTGGTTATTCTTTTAATCCACTAGCCATGCATCTTGTTTGGTTAATCCCATTCTGATGGTAAGTATAATGTGGCTGGATCAATTCTGAACTTAAAGATCCTGTTTACATTCCCTTTCTGAATGCATTATGTATCTCTATTTATATGCTAGTATCTATTGCTATTTTCCTATTAACAATTGTGAATGGATCTCTGATGTTACTAAGTTTCCTGTATGTATTTTTTTGCAGGATATTGCCATTCACAATCTTGATTATATTTTAACAGTTTCATCACATGCTTTTGGTAGCGCTTCACCAGAAATTCTTGCTAATCTTGAAAATCTGTTAGACCAAAGGTCATCTGAACCTTGGAGCTATCGTAGCCTTCCAACTCCAACGGCTATTTTTCCTGTCATTATAAATAGTGAGGAGCATGGTGAAAGTGAGTTTCCAAGGACTCGTGACAACTACAGTGACAAATCCACCACAAGAAGTGGAATAGATCAACGATTAGATTCCTTCGTACAACCAAAAGATGATCCTAACCAAGGCATCTCCAAACAAGTTCGGGCTTTACGAAAGAAGTTGCAGCAGATTGAGATGCTTGAGACAAAGCAATCCAAGGGGCATATTCTCGATGATCAACAAGCTGCAAAACTTCAGACAAGGTCAATTCTTGAAGGTTCGCTGGCTGAGCTTGGTGTTCCAGTTGAAACAGCACTGGTGAAAGCATCATCTTCAGTATCACCAGATGGGAAGGGGAATAAAAAATCTGAGGTACCAAGAAAACAAAGAAGAAAGAGCCGACAAAAGGCAGAACAAATGGAAATGCCATCTGCTTTTACTAGTAATGATGCAGAATCCAGTTCTAAAAAGAATTTCATGGATGTTGAGGTCTCACAAGCTTCTACAAATAAGGTCAGGTTTCTATTTTTCCTATGCGAACTCCTTTTCCTATCATGAAAATTTTGAATGCATCATTGTTGATGCATTCTTTATTAAATTTTAGATTTTAAGTATTGGTTGCTAAAGGCTGCTTTTAACTAGGAGCGTTCATCAACCACCAATCTGCCCGACTCTACTGTGCCTGACCCACTTGGTTAATTAAGAGGAGGGAATTTATTAATTATGAAATAACCAACATGTTGGGTCAATTGATGGGTTTAGAGTTTCAAGTATTTCAGGATTACCGACCGTATAATATTAAACAATGCCCCTTTATTTTTACCCATTCAACAGACCAAGATTTCTAATCGTGCTTATTTTGCATCTGCCCAACATACTAGCCTGCTAACCTGCCTGATCCATCAAGCATATAGATGCCTGCAGAATGTGCTCAATATCAAGCTAGTAAGCTACCAATTAGACGATTACAAACTTTATCGGATTGGCTGAAGAATTCAATCCAACACCGACAAGGGCATGCCCCACTAGTTGCATGATCTTCTGTCAGAGAGTGCCTTAATGGAATTTCATTTCTTGGCCAAGCACTAGTTTACATCATCCATGTCCCTTTTGAGATATGTTTAAATTAGCTTAAATTACTCTTTATTTTCTCTGTGAATCCAGTCCATTAGCTGAATTTGCATCTTGGTATTATAACGTGTCAAACATGAACTGAGTGGCAGGTGCTGGTTTTGATTCCACCTATAATTAGCATCATTCGTTTCCCATGGTGCACATCTTACAGGGGCTAACTGCCTCAAGACAATAACCCAATCTTTATCAGTGTTGTTGTTTAGAAATACTGTTATGATAACTGTTGTAATTGCTGTTTAAGTCCCTAGACTGACCTCCATATTCTAGGAGGAGGTTGTTCTTATTGATTAGTTTTTATTTTTTCCTTAATTTTGTTAGCAGTCGTTGAGTTAACTTAGTCTTCAATGGGACACCCCAGAGGTTAAGACTTGGTATTTCTTCTACGAGGTTTCTGGACCTTGGAAGGGTGGAATGGGGAATTTTGGGGGTTGGGGGAGGACTAGCTAGCACCCATTGTGTAGTCCAAGGCCTGTTGGTTCTTTCATTGGACCAAACGAAGTCATTAACCCTAGATTTCTTGAATAACTAATTACATTTGCTGATTTTTTCAAGTTAATGTTTAATAGGAGGAAGAAGCAAGTTTTGGTGGAAGTGTGGTGAACCAAAACACTAAAGAGATCGGTTTCGTTGTTCAGGAGAAATCAGGTTCCAACTTGCCAAAAAATAAGATTTCTTCTCCAGCAGTATCCAAGAAAAAGAATCGGAAGGGTGGGCTTTCCATGTTCCTGAGTGGTGCCCTGGATGAGGTCCCCAAAGATGCTGCCCCCTCCGCCAACACCCAAAAGTGAGGGTCCTGCATGGGGTGGGGCGAAGGTTTCAAAGGAATCTGCTTCACTTCGTCAAATACAGGATGAACAGAGCAAAACCAAAGTGAACCGACCAACAAGGAACAAAGACCATGTAGAAGATCATTTTGATAGTAGAGGTGATGGAAAAGTTTTGTTGAGCTCACTTCTGCCTTCCAAACCAATTCCTATGGTGTCAGCGCCTGCATCGCAGGTATCTGATGCAGAAATAAGCACACCTCCTTGGGCTTCTGGGACTCCTCCTCTTCCTTCTCGACCATCACTTAGAGACATCCAAATGCAGCAGGTATACAGTTACACACCTCGCTGTGTCTTCACCTTTTTTTTTAATTGAACTGCTGTGCTTTTCTGTACATGATAATTTGTTATGAGCATATAATTGCTCTGCGTTGCAAGAATGCAACTCGACTCATCGTATTCTTAACGATGGCTTTGCTTTCTCTCTCTCTTTTTTTTTTTTCCCTAATCTCATGACAGGGAAAGCAACATCAAAGTATATCGCATAGTCCAAAGACGAGAACACATGGATTCTCAGTTCCCACAGGTCAGGGTTCACCATCAGATTCTCCAGGAATGAACCGGTGGTTCAAACCTGAGGTTGACATGCCATCATCGATCCGTTCAATTCAGATCGAGGAGAAGGCTATGAAGGATCTGAAGCGCTTCTACAATAGTGTTAAGATTGTCAAGAACCCATCTTAAGATGGCTGTATGATTTAACTTAAGAGTACTTGGCAACTTGGGCTCTTCAGTGGCTCACTGCTCTTGTTTTCAGTTCAATGCACTGCTGTGAATTTCACTGTACAGAAGTTAACATTGTACATTAGGTTTTAGATTAGTTTTTAGACTTTATTTCACCGGTTTTATGTTGGACCAAGATAAATAAATTTTCCAATGTCTTATTCTTTTTCTACAAGAGAGAGATTTGAATAATAAAATCAATTGTACATTGTAATAAGATGTGAACAAAGTACTGATGTCTTAATAACAAATTAACCATCCCAAGCTATATCACTTTATATGTATATATATATATAGGAAATGTGAATGCTTAAAACACAGATTGTATGTTGGCTTTCATAGATTAGCTTGAGTTTGGCTCAACTTGGATTTTGCCTGCTAGGAATTCGTTCTGTCCTACTGGATGAGATTTGTGTTCTACAATCTTTTTGCATTACATAAATACATTATTATTATATTAATCGTACTAGCGATATCCAATCAAAAAAATTTGGTGTGATATTTCATACACAACTTTTTGCATTTAAGAAAATATATTCTAATTTACGTACAACGAATTTATATATTGAAAAGATCGAACCTCTTGAATCTAACGTTAATCTAAACTAAAAAAAACATCGTACATACGCCCTCAGGCTTGTTGCCCATCTTTGAACAATTATGAATATCGCTAGCAGTTTCTCGTATGATCTATATTATTGACACACAGTTTAGCCATAATCCTACTTGTGAAACTTGTCCGACCACCAATTATGATAAAAGCAATTAATAAAGATTTGTAAAGTACTATTATGTCCTCTTCCAAAGCATATAAACATTTATTCAATTAAATACTGCCCACTCCTAACTCAAAAGATCTATCAATTAGTCAACAAAATTAGAGAGAAAGCCTAACTTAATGAGAAATTGACACATTTCTTTATTAATATTTTTTGTAGAGTTATAAGAAACATTTTAGATAGTCTGCAACTTTCTTATGTAGTTCAAATAATAATAATAAATTATAGAAAGAATAACCACATGAGACTATATTTATTTATTATTATTATTTATTTTTTTGTTTGAAAAAAAACTGCTTTCACAAAATATAAAAATACCATCTTTATTCTGGTCTAGTATTCTTAAAAATATAGCTTAAGTACGTACTTTTTTTTCACCATTTGCCTTGCATAGTCAAATTTGATCTCGCACCGACTCAACCGTTGCTCTGAGGAACAATATCTATAGCGCATTAGTGCGGGTAAAGGAGGAGAGGTCTCGTCATCATAAAAGTACATATACAATTCAATATTGCAGAAAAGTACCGAGTTTTTCTGCTCATTGCTAAGAGTGCCATAGGCTTTACAATTTATGAAGGTCTAGAAAATAAATGGTCATAAAAGTTAGAAATTTAATTTAATTAAAATTATTATGAATTCAATTTATTCATTTTATGGAAACTTTACTGCATGTTAAAATTTTAGAAGTAAAATATTTTTATTAATATGTTATTTTTATATAATTTTTTTTTAAACTTGATCATTAATTAACTCAATGATTTTCTTTTAATTTTTCATCTTAATTTTAGATAGACTTTTTCTTAAATTAATATTGGTTTTATGTAATGCAAGATTAAATTTGATAACTAATAGTTTTAACAAAAAAGATATTTTTAAAAAAATTATGAACGAAAACTAGTGATATGATATAACAATTAATAATTTTTTAAAATTATTTGAAAAATTAAAATTAAAAATCTTTTTAGGACAGAAAAAGTATATATATTATGAATTACATAACTCGAGGAAATAGCATGACCTTATGCTTTATCCGCCCTCGAAAAAATAAGAATAGAACCATATCTCTACCTTATTCCACTATATTTGCAATATTATATGTGAAAGTCACTCTAAAAAGTCTTCCACTTTTTTCAATATTGTCCCACTTTTCGGTTTCATTTTAATAATTGTGTTAAGGTGTACATTTTTTAATCATGTGTTTTGTGAACATTGCATTTCTTGCACCAAAATTAAGCTTTCATAATTGTCTAATATACAACATTTCGTTTTTTATTATATAAAAAAAATATAAGTAGAATGGTAAAAAAAATGTTTGGGACTCGTTAAGTTTGAGATTCGATTTTTATCTTTTAAAAGCTCAATCTTCCTTTTAGTGGGATACTAGACATTGCTTGTTATTTGATTTTAAAAAACTGATTTTTAGAATTTATCAATAATTAAGCGTGATTCGATTCTAATCAAATCTAAAAAATAATGAATTTAATTTCGATTAATGTGAATATACTCAACTACTTCTAGATAGCAAAAAAAAAAAAAAATACTATCTATTATGGCACTTGTCATGTTATATTCTTTTGGAAATGATTTAAAGCATTAGGCAAAACTGGGGCTTGATTTTAGTGTCCGAAGTGTAACAAGACACATGAAAAAAATGTAGTTGCTAAAGAGGCTGTTGAACTAAAACTAATAATGTAGAACGTTGATAAATTTGGTTATTTTCTGGGTAACATTGCTTCTACGGTTCAACGCATAGTTGGGGATGTAATTGAAAGTGGTATCATAGTTGGGGACTCCTTTTGAAGTTATTCCAAAAAACAAAAAAGAAACAAAGAAGAAATTTGTGGTCATGATATTTCATCACCAAAAGTTATGGGACTGGGGACAAGGTTTTTTTCAGGGTGCAAAAGAACTGTATATTAGGTGGTCTAGAGAAAATTGTTCAGATCAAGTCCACCTTTTCAATCAAATTATTTAAGGTTTTTTTTTCTCGAACAAATTATTTAAGTTATAGTTGGACTTTAGTATTCTTCTATCTTCATGATATTTAAGTAATAATTCATAAGAAGCAAATCCAATATTTGATGGGTTCTCTGCATCAAATTTCTCGGTGGTGGGGTACTGTCGCATGCATCCATTAATTTTTTTTGTTTTCAATTGATTAGGCAGGAGACCGGAAAAAGAAGAAGAAGAAGAAGAAGAATGAGCAATGATAAACCACAAGAACATGGACAAAAACCAAAAGATTTCGTCAACGGCTCTGATGGCTCATGAAGAATGTTGAAAGTTGAAACTCTAGCTAACAGGTGTACACCAAGCAAACTGTTGCTGGACCCACATTACAAACTAATCATGCATGTCCTCAATAGGAGAGAAAGTGGACACGACCCATCGAGGAGGACTGCTTGCCAAGCACAGACAGCGACCATAGATGTTCCAGTTCACTAATGACCGAAAAGGAGAGATATTATCACTCAAAAAATCATGTGAACAATATTGAGATCTAACACCACTCTTTTGCTTTTGTATGTTGAAAGAACACTATATGCATTTGTAAGAGAAAAAAGAAGAAGAAGAAGAAGAAGAATGAAAAGATAGGTTAGGAATATAGTGGACCCATTTGGGTAAGAAAAGATTGAGTATTTGATAGAAAGCAAAATACAAAAGAGCCACTTTGATGTGATAAGAATTTGTTGGAGTTTCTTTGGAGGAAGAAATTTCAATAATTTGGCAAAGATGTGATCTTTTTACTTGTCGAGATTGTAAAGGATTACATCTTTCGACATATAGTAGATTTTAGAACAAAAAAACACTTTCTTGATTATGTTATTGTGGGTTGTGGCTAATGTAATTTAACAAATTCTTACGTACTATCACTTAGCCGCTCTATGTCTTGTGAAATTTAGAAGTGAATCCAACTCATCACCTTGATAAAGATTAAAAAGTTAAGGAAACGAAGATTTTTTTTTTTTTTTTTTCCAGAAGCAAGAAACAAAGAGTTTTTACTATTTATCTAGCAATGTCTGAATTAATTTTTTTTTGGATAATTTAATTTTTATCTTATATATATATAACTATTAAAGTTATATTTGAATAAGTTTATGCATCAATGAAGATGAAGTTTTCTTTCCAAAAATCTTAAAGATACCTTGTGTTATGATGCATTTTAAAGAATAAATTTTCCTATATACTGACCCTAAAGTATAAATTCGAGAAATCAACCAAGGAAGCAAACCGTTTTGATCACTCAACTTACACCTTAGAATTACATTTTATTCTATATTTCGTATCCCAAAAAAAAAAAAAAAAAAAGAATAAGATTAGGTTAGAGGTATAAAGTTGTAAATTTTTAGGTCACAGTAAGAACGGGTGATCAAACTTGGTAGGAAAATAGATAAGTTTAGATAGTACCATCTACATGAATTTTTATAGTAACAGGTCAAGAAAGAAAATTTTATCTTTACAATCTCTTGTGCTGAGTTTAATTTATTTATAAATGAAACTGCATTAAAACTTTCATGAATTTCTTAGTCTAGGCATGGATAATTTATCTTTGATCGGATTGGAGAAATAGATTTAATTTCAGTACAAGAAAATCGGTACAAAAAAATTAGTCCAAGATTATATATCCTAGTAAAACCAAAAAAAAAAAAAAAAAGAAAAAAAGGTTGAATTGAAAATAAAGGTCCAACCGTCTTAAATATATATCTTAGCAAAGAATTAATTTATTTAAAAGTTTAAGTTATTATGAAAGAGTGAAATGTATTTTTATTACTTCAACAATATTAAAAAAAATGTTTAATTAACTCTAATTTAAGTTTTCACGACAAAGAAAAAAGAGCAATTAATATCTTTCTGAAAGAAAAAAGTATGGTTAAAAATTATATTGTTATATCCATTTTAAAATATCTACATTTTCATATAATATATATATTTTTTCTAGAAATACGAGAGGTTGGATTTATGATTAAGAGAGCGGACTCCCTTTTTAACCAATAGGATTGATATTTTTTATCAGCTTTTAAGAAGTAAAAAATCTCAAGAATCTCTTTGTCAAAAGCAACCAATATCAAGTATTGATAAAAACGTTTATGGTTAAATAGAATGGAATCTGATGAGGCTGGGTATCTTAGACAGAAATATGATAAAAATGTTGTCTCTTTTATGGCTGAAAAAAGGATGGATATCTATATATGTTAGATGATGAACCAATCTACATTTGCAAAACAAGTCTTTTATTATTATTATTATTATTGGAGGATCATTCTATATATGACTGAATCAGAATACGAAAAAGAAAAAAAATTGTTTAAATAAATTGTATTGTGAATATATAAGCACGCTGAGAACCATAAATAGTAGTATTGAGAGTTAAAAAATATAGTTGGAATTTTAACCTTTAGTTTCAAGTGCATTTATATAGACAAGGGCTTAATGGACTTTTGGAAAAAAGATGATAACGAGTCTATTTCTTTGTATGTCAATAGTCTCTGACATCAATTAAAGAGACAAATGTCCTTTTCACTTAAAAACTATTGTTTAACAGTTATTGTTACGTTATTATTGGTGCCGATTGAATAAAGACAATCTAAAGAGCATGTTTTTTATTAAATAAATGTATTTTTTTCCTAACTAGCTAGTAGATAAAATAACATATTGGTTATTTGGGTTGATAATATAGGCTAACGTTGTGGAAGGTGTTTGGTTAGAAAAATTGTGGAGGCCTAGTCTATACTTTGTTTTTATTTGGAGAAAGACCCCACTCGGAGTTTTTGTGAGGTATAGGATGACACATCAGAATCAATTAATGGGGGTATGAATTTGATGGCCAAACTAAAAAACAATATTTATATTTTTATATAATATAATATTATTTTCGTAAATACGAGACGTTGGATTTATGGTTAAGAGAGTGTATTTCCTTCTTAACAAATAAGATTGATATCTTAGACCAGATTTTAAGAAGTTAAATCTCAAGAATCCCTTAGTCAAAAGCAGCTAACATCGAGTATTGGCAAATATATATATATAATGGAATTGATGGCATGAATTTGATGGCCAAACTATTATTATTATTTTATTTTTTTTGTCTTCATAATTTGAGTCTTAACAATAAAGATATTTTCATGTCAAATTTCATTTATGGAGGCTAAGCCCCTCTTGATTGGATCTTAAATAGGCCGTAACTACTAGAATTGATTTATATGGAATTGATGGAATGAATTTGATGGCCAAACTCTTTTTTTTTTTTTGTCTTCATAACATGAGTCTTAACCATTAAGATATTTTCATGTCAACTTTCATCTATGGAGGCTAAGTCCCTCTTGATTCGATCTTGAATAGGCCGTAACTACTAGAATTGGTTTATATATATATATATTCTTACTTTCTTGTATCCTGTCTTGGGATTTGATTCTTGAATGATAATGTGGGGAACCAATCCACTTGCTAACCAACCTAAATTTCTAGAAGTACAGATTAAGTTATTCTTATTCCTAAAGATAAACTACCTTGCTCCTAAAGGAAAGGAATTTCTAAAAATATAGGAGAAGTTATTCTTACTCCTAAAGATCAACTACCTTTCTCCTAAAGGAAAGAAAATAATAAGGAGGCAAAATTTTATAATTTTCATTAACTGGATATGTAGATCATTTATTACAAATTTATATTAGTTCCAAGAATTTATAACCATTGTGTTCGTGATTTTGATGATAACAAAATATTAATTGTAATATTTGTGCTTGAGTATAATTTATGATTTTATAGATATAACAAGAAAGGTTCTATTTATGATTGGATTGAGCATACTTTTAAAGACTTTGTTTATCATGCAAAAGTGATCTTAAAGAGGAGAAAGAAATTTTAAAATACTCATGGAGTAACTATCAATACTTATTTCATAAAATAAATAAACAAAAATAGGAAAAAAAAAATTAAAAACGAAAATTTAAACCGATGTGAAAATAATTTTATGATTTTTGATGGATTCGGATGTGGTTTTTTTTTTTTTTTTTTAAAGGTGGATAGAGTATATAAGTGTTGGAGTATTTTAAAATTTAATAGTTATAAAAAATTATGTTTGATCCAAGATTGCATGCATCAAAATTTGTTTATTCAAGATTGCATGTGTAATGATGCCTAAGCCCAAACGCGGGGCTTGATGAATAACTTAACGACTTAAAGCCCACAAGGGTAACATCGAGTTGAACGTATGGTCATTACCATTCAAGATGAATTATTTATTACACATTTATCCATAAGTAATTTTTTTTAATCCTCAAGTATTCCAAGTTCAAAAACCAAATCAATCGCATAAGACGAATACAAATATTCAAAAAATTCAAAAAAAAATTTATATATACAAAAATTTAAACTCAAAATTATTTATTTCAACGATTAAAGTTCTTTCTATTCAAGTAAACTAATTTGAATTATTTATAAATAGTTTTTATATCTTATTCACATTCCTCATAATCCACCTATATGAGATATCTCATATAAGTAATTTTTTGTTTTTCGGAAGTGTGTCGGTCGCACTACAATCATGGTCTAGAATTAAGCCCTAAATAGTATAGGATATTCTAGAGGTGGCTCCCATCCGCTTCAAGTATATAATAACACTTTGTCCGGCATATTTAGCACTTGGTTTCAACACCGGATAGGGTGTGCTCTAATATATACCGTTTTGTCACGCTCCAAGCAGGGGCGGAGGCAAAATAATTTTGTAGAGAGAGCCAAATCTAACATTACATATAAATATTTTTTTAAGACAATTAAAGTTATATTTAGAAAAAAAATAAAGTTATTGGATAAACTCACTATTTGCATATTGTGTTTTCACCAACTCTTACAAAAAATAAATTATTTTGTTATTAATTCAATCAATTGAGCATTTGTATTTTCGATTTTAGTCAACCGTATATTATTTGTTTAAATTGAAAAAAGAACTACATAATATGGAAGGTGTAATGGATGATGTTATTAAGAGAAACAAAAGAAAAGTTGATATAATGAATCATATGGTAAAAAAATACACTTAATTAGTTGAAATAAATTTTTAATTTTGAAAAATTATATCCAATTGGCTGAAGTGGAAAATACATATATTCAGTTGATCAAATTGATAACATAGGGTTTTCTTTTTCTTTTGCTTTTTGGATTGATGAAAACAGAAGATGTAAAGAATAGGTTTAGAAAAAAAAAATCAAGAGATTTTCTTTTTTAATTACTTTCTAACGGAAAAGATGAGGCACTTCTAACAATTTTTATTTCATCTCTTCAATTTCTCTTAAAAAATAGCTTTAGATTTAATTTTTTTTACTTTTAACATGCTTTTCTTAAAGGAGACACTAGCAGAAACAAATCTAACCTGCATACATCGATATCAGACAATTTTGGGGTCTATTGTGTAAAGTTAATTCCTATTTTGTGAGGGCTATAAAACTTGCCAAATAATCATTTTAATTAAAAAATTAAGCTATGAGTGAGGCATTATAATAATTTTATATTAACTTTCTAACACATTTTTTCAAGTAATTTTTTTTTTTTTGAACTTGAAATTTGCATATATCCATTATTATCTTATGTTTAACGATTTAACTTTAGTTAGAAAAAAAACGATTTAACTTTAGTTAGAAAAAAAAATGAAAATGATAAGATTCAAATTTGCATTGTTTAGTTGTCAAAACTCTAACATTTATGAACAAGCTAAGTTTTAAAAATGAGGATCTTTTTATCATGTTACAAAGTCATCTCAAATCAAAAGCTTTCAAATTTAACTATCGAATTTAATATATTATTAGAACTTAAAAAAAGTCTAATAACTTAGTAAAAATCTAAGCTCATACTACTTGATAGATTCCAAAAAAATGTGTTCTAAGTGAAGAAGATTGTTAGTATGTATATCTCAAAATAAATAAATACAAAAATATAAGCAATATAAAAGATTTAAACGAATCATTTACCATAATACTTAACTTATGTGGATTAAACATAAACTCAACTATCGCATTTAATAAAACTAACGTATAATGTCTATACAATTTTGAAATTTTTGAGGGAGGCAAGGCTCTTACAATCCCTTGGCCTGCTCCTGACTTCAAGTTCCGGGAGGCTCTGTTCCTGGCTTAAAAGTCCCGGGACGAGACCTGGTGTATAACTGAACGTTTGGACTTACTGCCTTTACCTATACGAAAAGAATTTATTATTGTCTATAAGATATTCCTTACATCCACAATCCTCACAAGTTATAATCGAAATAAATGATCGAACTGAAAACTCAAATTATTCTACACAGGACGTGGCGATGGCACTGATCAACATGTTAATGCTTTTTATATAATAAGATATGATTCATAATTATAATAACTAAAGGCATTCTCTATTATTTTTTAACAAAACCCATAAAACCGCACTTAAAGATTTATTTTCTTGCTATATAGCTCGAATTGAAAGCCTTAGAAGAACACACCTCATTTTCAGTCTTCAATCTTCACCTTTTGGTCTTCCTTTTAGCCCTAGAGCCTTAGGACAAACAACGATAGATAGCACATTTCGGTCAACCTAGAAAATCTTTAAAATGACCGTTCTTCGATACGAAATGAACGGTATTGGGATAGATCGCACATTTCGGTCAGCATTTGATTGAAAAAATCATAAAGAGTCAAAATTTTAATTGCAATATTGATTTTTTATTTTATTTTTGGAGATAGAATGAAAAATAGCGATCATTCCAGGCGGGAGATCAGAACCGATATTAACAACACTGCTAAAAGTAACTTTAATGAAATGAAAGAAAATCAATCATGGTACAATCGAATATCTCCTCACTACCAATGTTTTTTGCCATGATACACATATTTAATACTCTCAATTCGATCTCTCTCGTAATTAAAAATGTTTATCTCCACATCTGTATAGTTAATTTTTCTTTTTTCTTTGGGTCCATACATAACTTTATATTAAAACAAAGAGCAAGTGCTGATATCATGCTGTGGTATGGGCGGTGGGGAACCTTTTTGGTTCATGGAGATATCTACCTTCTTGTTGTTATGTATGGCTTTTCTTGTAACTTGTAAGACCATTAGACCACCAAAAATTAACAATGACTAAAATAAACAGGGGATTGTGGAGGCCCGCGTCCCCTCCCTCACGCTTCCTCTCTTTGGTCCTCGTTATTTTCAGTGCTAAAGCTCTTTTTTCCACAGAGATAGCCTGTAAAAGCCTCCAAACTCCCTTTCTTTTCTTTTCTAATAAAAAGTTCCTTAGAAGAAGACAACATCATCCCTCCAAAACTTACCACCCTTTTCATTAGTTTATTCATAAAATGACCTGTCTGTCATGTGCTTTTCAACATTTATCTCTTTGTTTATCTTTTCTCTTACCTCCATTTGATCCCTTTGTCTCACCTCGATTTGTTTATCATTTTGGTGTGCGAAAGTGTGTGTGGTCTTGTGTGCTTGTAGGTATAAAGAGAGAGATAATGTTGAGGACTTGAGTATCTAGCAGCCTAGCTTGTTGGGTTTTCATTGTTGAATCATGAGAAAGAAATCATGACTCAGATGCAGAGACTCCTTGAAAGAAGGAAAAGTGGTGTTTGGAATGAAGTTTGATCCAAGATCCTTGCATGTCTCTCCCGTTCATTTAGTCTCTGTTAATGTTAGGTTTTGGTTAGGTACGTATTGAAAGTGATTATGCAGCAGCCCTTCTTTCTTTCTTTTTTCTTGATTTTAGCATCAAGAGAGTGTGCTCGCTGTTAGTTTCTAGTCTTATCCCTAATTGTTGTTTATTTTTAGGTTCGATCTTGCAAGTAATTATGTTTTGTAAACATCATGAATATTGATCTCGGACCAGGCTTCATTCCTTACACCAAGCTTTTCCTTTGGCAGATTACAAGATCCTAATGGAGGTATGCTCTCTTTCAAGGTCCTGAAACAATATTATAGTTCTCTAATTGTGGAATCTTAAGTCTATGTATAGATTATTTGTTGCATTTATTGGTTGATTATATTAATCATTGATGTAAATACATGCATAACTTGATTTGACCATTCACTGATTTTGATCTCACCATGCACTTCAATATTCGTATGGCTGCTGAGATCCTTTCATATCCCTTTACTTAATTTGTTACTGCTGCTTAAGTTTTTCATTGAGTTATTAGTACGAGTCTAAGATGAATGGATTTGATCAGGAATACCCAATAATTAGTAAGATGCCGAGTCCTTGATTTTAATTTGAGAAAGTAGTACTACATCATATCGTATTAATTTGTTTCTACTCTCCAGCTCTTTCCCCTCCGACCAAGGGAAATATTCTCCAGATAACATCAAAGATTCGCAGACAAAACAATAAAAGACATGTACGAATGATGCTTTAATTTATTAGAAAAATTAACAACATATAATGTCAAGTATTCATAAATATATTCATACCTCTTTACTTCATTTCTAGCTTGAAACTTTTTATCAAATTTTTACTCTTCGACGGCTCTAGACCTGCGCAAAAATTGTCCGTTTCACTGAATTATGGATCTCATAAGCATAAACCCTAGCTGGGGCCTGAGAGCATATCTCTCTATATATGCATCATGTGTGTTAATATATATGCACAGCTAGTCCATTTTTGGCTAGGAGTCAACTTGACATTCATATGATCAGTACGTCCTTGCATATCAAAACACGCACATATACTTCTATTATATATTTTTTTTGTGGCCATATATAATTTTTGCTCTCTTTTTTTGGATGAATGTGATCAGATCTGTATTTTTGTGTCTAACGAATTTTTTTGAATAATTTTTAACATATTTAACTGCAATTATTGCTTGTTTCTTTAAGGCTCAGTTTGTAATATTAGAAACAGTCGCACTCGTACTTGGAGAAATCTTGTATCTTTACTTTATCTTCTACAATTGGCGAAAATAATGGTGTTGCATTATCATATAATTAATTTTACCATAAGGCATTTTATTTCAGGGCATATGGAGGCTCGTTTTCTACATATACCATTTAGCATTTTGCTGTGTTTCTGTTGCTAATCACATCATACATATATTGTGCGAACGAATATTATCATTAACATATCATTTATTTAAAGTGATGATTGAGATGATGAGATGATCTTTTGGTTACAGTTCTATGCTCTTTAATTAAGGGACAAGATCTGATTGATTTGATTTAGTAAAATGCTGGGAAGGGGTTTATATTCTGTTGTTGAGCACCCTTTTTTTTTTTTTTTTGCTTATTATACAGTAATTTAATTGTATGATTACAACGAAAAGGTTTCTTGTTACTGGGTATGAAATGAATTTAGTATGCCATGATGTATTATGCACAAAGGAAACGGGGAAAAGTAAAGGAACTATCACATCAATGTGCCGTATATTAATGTCTATTCTCTACTCTACACACACACCACAATTTTAAAGAATTATGTGACAAAATTTCCTTCAAAAAATAATTTGCAGTTCCTCCAACTCATCAACTACCTTCCTTGTTTTTGTGTATATAAGATTGAGTACAAGTTTTTAATTATAAGTAACACTGTAATTACTTGTAACCTGAAGAAAAAAAAGACAACCAATAAAAACTTGTCATGTGTCATTTTATTTTATTTTATGTCAAAATGAATATAATAAAATAAAAATAGATGACATGACAATACATGGGCCTTTCTTATAATAATAATAATAATAGTATTACTTGCATAATAATAACGATAAAAGAGAAAGGTGATAGAAAAGTGAGTTATTTATTTATTTATTTATTTTTACTTAAAACGTCTATTTATTGGTGAATATAATACAGAATTCTAGATTATAAATTTAATAGAGAATAAATACATTCATGCATAAATTGGTGAATTGAATCATGAAGAATAAATATATTCATTGATGAATTGGTGAATTGAATCGCATTAAAAAATAAAAATAGTTATGAAGAATAAGAATAGTTATAAACATTCATTATTTTATAATATTTTTCCTTAAATGTCCATTGTACAAGGAATATATCTCATTACAACATTTTTAGGAAAAACTCATTGATAAGAAAATCCTAATAAAGAACAAAAAGTATGATATTTCTTGTATACATTAATTCTCATGTCAAGCTTATCATGTTGAAATATTGTTTAAAATTTGTAAGATAACGCATCACAATCTTGCAAACTATTTTCTTAAAAGTTGTGGTAGATAATGTCTTAGTGAATAAATATGTTAGATTGTCATTTAATCAAATTTGTTGAACGTTAATATCACCATTCCGTTGAAGATCATACTTGAAAAATAATTTTAGTGATATAATTTTTGTTTTGTCACATTTGATGTATTCTTTTTTTAATTGAGTTATGCAAGCACTACTATCTTCATATAATATTGTTAAAACTTTCTTACTAGTGGATAAATCGCTTGTCTCGTGGATATGATAGGTTGTTATTCTTAGTCAAACACATTTTCGACCTATCTCATGAATTGTTAGTATTTATTTAAAGATGCAACAACTAAAGTTTACTTCATAAAACGCAACAATCATTAAAAAAAAAATGCATAATTAACAATGGATTATTTTGTTGCTAATTAGCTAAAATCCATCGCTAAATTAGCTTAGCGACGGTGTGGCGATGGAAAATCTATCCGTCGCTAAAACGCTTGTCGCTAAAATTAGCAATTGAAAAATAATTTCCATTGCTAAATTAGCTTAGCAACAACGTGGCGATGCAACCATTTATACGATTATGGATCCGTTGAATGGGTAAATCGATCATTTTCATCAACTTTTTCGTATTGTAAAAGTCTTCGATATGCAATTATTGATAAGTATCAACTCTTTTATAAGTTGACATAAGTTATCGTAACACCTCTCTAAAAAATTATATTCAGACTTGAGATGTAACAAATGAGCCATTACGGATAACCGTGAGTGGTTTTTTGAATCGAATCAAATCTCTCTATTATATGCATTCAACAAATCATAAAATGTTTGGATATTAGGGTTCGGGACTTCGTCTATGTTAGACGAATTAAATGATGAACCGAGCATAATACTCGAACATAAACCATATCTCATCGGATGATACTTAACGATATCGGGATTTTCATAACTATAATTTTAACATTTTTATGTTTAGAAGTACATCTTATCTTATTACCATTCATACACTTCGGATGACTAATGATAAAATTAATAAATTCATTAATTCCATCTACAAAATATTGATTTAAAAGTCCATCGGTTAGTCTATAGTCAATCCATGAACAATCTGAATGCATTTTAAACTAAATTTAATTATTTTAAAATTAAATTGCTAATTTAATTCAATTAACAAATAAAAAACTTGTTTAACAACTAATTAATTAATATTTTAATTAGATTTATATATTATATCATTCAATTTTTTTCAAATGTATACTTTATGCATTATTAGATTTAAAATAAACTATAAATTAGATACTTATTTATTAATGATTTAGATAATTTAGGTATTTTAACGTACTATAAAAAAATAATAAAAATATGACAGAAATAATATCAATAGTAAAAGAGTTGAAGAGAAAAATAATAGAAAAATATGTTATTTATATTTTTTCACGAAGAATATGAATAGTCATGGAGGGAAAAATGGCTATGGATATTTATTATGAACATTCATAATTTCATAATACTTAAGTTTTTAATTTGATTTTTTAGAAGTTCTTCGTTGGAAATTGATGAGGTAAATCGTTTTTTTTTTTTTTCAAATTTCTATGGACGAAGTAATCAGCCCTCTTTGTTACCAAAACTAATTATTTTTTTCTATTTTATGTTCTTTTTTAATTTATTTTTTAAAAAATATCATGAAAAGATTGAATAAAAAAGATGATATTTTATAATAAAATAATATTAAATTAAGCATAGTCAATATTTATAAAAAATTATATAATTATTTTTTAAATAAAAGGATTAATTAATTCGTTGTTTGAAACTAGAGAGACCAATTTACAAGTTACTCATTAGAAGAAGAAGAAGAAGAAGAAGAAGAGATGATGATGAGACGCACTACTGCAGGTCTCTCTGGTTAACAAACATGCATGCACGCCCACACAAACAGCTCATAAATATACACATGGAAGGAGGATTCCGCGCGTTGCTACTGGTTTGATGACAAAACATGGTTTTTATATTTAATTAATTTAAGTTAGAATATTTTTTAAAAAAATTGGTTATGCTGTAAGAAAAAAAATACATATTAAGTTAATAAATAATTCTACTGTTAAATTTATATTATGAAGACTTTTTTTTAAAAAAAATATTTGTTCAATAACAACATAAAAAAAATCTAGTTTATTTGTGTGTTCAGTGTTTATAGGCACGTACAAAAAATGTTGAATCATGAATATCAAATTATCAGTAGCTAAATTAATTAATTAATTAATTATATATATATATATATATAAGAACTAAATATATCTTAAATCAGAAACTTTAAATCTTGTAAACATTGATAAATTCATGGCCTCATAAGATTCCATCATCTACAGTCAATGTATTCTTAGACATGTGATTTTTAAATTTCACTTATTTTTTTATATTCAATTATTCGAAATATTTTATAAATCACACACATCAGGTAGGTTAATAATTAAATGTTTACTACTAAAATCTCTTATAAACTGTCACGTGAAATCTTAAATAATAAAAGAAAAAATATTCAAATTATTCATATTGAATTGACAAACAATTAATAAATAGTGGTGCTAAAAACTTTTTGTCAATGTTTGTTCATTTATAAATATTTAATTTCAGTGTATATTTTTTGTAAATGCTAGTTCATTTATAAAATTTTTGCAAATAGTTCATCTTGTGAAAATAAATTTCATTATATATTTAATTTTTTTAATATTCTATTATTATAAATATTTTTGAAAACTATGCCTCATAATTGATAAAGTTTTAATCAATTAATTTTTCGGCACGAAGCACATGGGCCAAGTTTGCGAGGCCCGGGTGATTAAGAATAATTTTTTATTTTTATGAAATAAACCAACGATGCATCGTTCAGTGTCGAAAATGTTTTAAAAGAGACGACATGTCGTCCATGGGGAACGACGCATCTTCTACTGAATTTGGTTGCTGGAAAATCAGGGGTGTTGTTCAAAGCTATTAAAAAACTCCATTTTTTCACCATTTTAACCAAAAAGACCTTCAAAATCAATTCGAAGCTATTTTAAATGATCTTAAAATGAAATTAAGTTTTAAAAACGAAATACAGTCTCGATTTCAATTTCATTTTCCAGTCACGAAGGAGTTTCTCATTGTAATAACCCAAATTTTTCTTCTTTTTTTTATTTTTTATTTTTTTTATTTATGTTTATTCTTTATTTTATTTTTATTTATTTATTTATTTTTATTTATATATTTTTTTTAATTTGAAGTTTATTAAGGAAAAAGAAAAAAAACGACAAAGAAAATGATGAAAAAAAAATTCATCTAGGGATACCATTAAGGTAATTAGGGGTGTAATCGAGTCAATTAAAAATTTTAGGCCTTAAATTGCACCTCCGGGGACCTAATTGATGAGATTATACTGAAATTATTTCGCGAAGGGCGTAATTGCTGAAATTGAAATGCGAGGACCAAGCCGAAAGTTTGGAGCAAACGACAGGACCGAAATGAAGCAAACGACACGTCGTTCGCTCCAAGGTAGATTCTCTTCGAAAATCTTTAGGAGAATCTGCCCAAATCCTCCATGAATTTCTTGTTTTTGATTGTGTATTAATCATGGATTTTGTTGCCAAAACCAACACTAACGAGAATCAATGAGAATTTCCCATTTTGATTTCACAATTAATCATGAATTAAAGAGGAAAATCTTTGATAGAAAATTCAGGGATTTCGATTCAATTTTAGGAAATTTTTTGGCTATAAAACATTTGAATTTCACGAGAAAAAAGGTGGTGAATAATTCGGGTAGAGAGGTTTCGAAAATCAAAAGCAAAAGGCTAAATTTTTAGTTTTTGGTCACTACATTTTACGGGTTTTTGGGTTCGTTCTTCGTGTTCTTGGTATTCGGGTTTTAGTTCATCAACCAATGGTTTCGTTCAATCCTTTTTCTAGGTGTTTTTCATATTGATTTTCCATCCTATAGTGTTGCTCAATCTTACATCCTAAAAATTAGGTTCAAATCCTTCAATTCTCGGGTTTTCCTTTTTGAAGTTACGGCGAGTTCTTCATTTTTACGGGTTTACGGGTTTGGGTTCTTCACTGTTCTTCACAATTCGGGTTTCTAATTTTCTTTCTCACATCCCAAGTAGTCGGTATCACTCGGGAGTTCCTCATCGCCCGTCGATCATCACGGGGACTCGCATCTCATCCTCTCATCCCTCAAAGCCACAATCAAATCGTCTCTTTAAGAAATCTTAGGTCATTTTTTTTTCTTTCCTTTTTTTTAATTGCTTATTTGTCCAATTTCTTTTGTCGACCTTTAAAATTTCTTTTCATGTGGGTTTGATTTTAGTTTCTTCTGCAATGGGAGATGTATAAGTAGATTAATTAACTTTTGGTTAGAAACAGAGGGGTTCGATGCAAAACAAAAGAGTGAGAAGCAATCGGGTATTAGGGAGAGAAAATGAAGAACACGAAGAACAGGAGAGAGAAAGGTTTAAAACTTGATTTTGATCTGAAAAATAAAAACAAAAGCACGCGGGCTTAAGGTCCGGCCCGACTCGCGAAAAGAAGAGAAACAAAAGGGGTCGGACTTCCTTTCACTTGACCTCGACTCGAGGCTAAAAAAAGAAAAAGAAAAGGAGGTCGGGCTAATTTCAGCCCGACCCACACCCTTCATCCCGGAAAGAAAAAAAGAGGCCCAACCCGTGCCCCTCGCAAAAAAAAAAAAAAAAAAAAAAAAAAAAAAAATGGAAAATAAGCAAAAGGAAGAAAAAATAGGAGATGGGTAATTAAAAAAAAAAAAAGAATAAAAGTTGTGGGTTAATATTTTAGGTATAGGATGATTTTTATTTATTTACTTTTATTATTCATTTATTTTTTAACTTGTTTATATAAGATAACTTTATTTATTTATTTATTTTTAGCTCGTTTATTTTTATTTCTTGTTGCTTTTAGGTATTAATTTAGATTTGTTATTTTAATTTTTTTTTTTATGTTCTTTTCTTTAATATGTATTGCTAGAAAAAAATATTGACGAAGTCTCCTATCTATAGGGCTCGACATCATAAAAACAATGCCTAAAAATTTTTGGTGAAGTCTCCTACATGGTAGGGACCGACGTCATAAAAGAAAAATTAATAAATAAATTCGACGAAGTCTCCTATCTAATAGGGACCGACGTCACCAAATTCAAAATTTTCGACGAAGCCTCTTATTTGATAGCGGCGACGTCATCAAAAAAATCATTGTTTAAATCAAGATATCCTCCGACACACCGGTTGTCTTAAGGCTTAAAGTGGATTCGATGTTTGAATCGACGTGTCGTCCGATGAAAGGGACCGACGATCGTTTCAATACGATGTCATGCTCAAAACTAAAAAATTCAATTTGTCTAAAAAAATGAGAGATTAAGAATCGAGAAAATAATTTGACGTAAATAAAATATTTTAGGAGATAAATTTAGAGCTAAACCGGACATGATACCTTTTTTCGAAAATGACGCTTTTGGGTGATCGATATTTTTCAAAAAACGTAACCAACTCTTTACCATAGAATCTCCGAACCAGGTGTCCGTTTTAGGTTTCAGTTCTTTTAATACTAGGTGGCGACTCCAAACTCTGTAAATAAATTTGTAAATATTCAATCAAATCTTAGATATTTTCGAAGAGTCTCGTTTGATGTCAAGTAGCGACACTCATTATACCAATCAATTATACTCATTGATGTAATCTCTTTGATAATCTTTTTTTCCTGAAATTGTGGTGGAAATACTCACAGCCATCAACTTCTCTCTCTTTCATTTTCGCCTCTCTCTCTAGAACGGAACCAGGAATCAAAAAGCAACATAAAGGAAATGGAGGACAAGATGGCTGCCATGTCAGTTAATTAGGATGGCGGTCTAGGTCCAGTGTTCCACTCCCATCCTCTTTAATTTACTCCAATTGCCTCTTACCAACACCAATCCCTTTTTGGGCTCTTTGATAAAGAAGAAACAGGCGAAAGGAAAACAAATCCTTTTTTACGGGTCCATCCATCTTTCCACACAAGCTTCACTAAAAAAAATACGCTGTCCTTGAATGTCCCAGCTAACGAAATCGTAGTAACCCTTTAAAGACTCCGACTATGGATAATCTCTGAATTTATACGTGTATATCCAACGGCGCCACCGGCGCCAATTTGTGCTGATTGTCTAAAAGAAATTCTTTATTACATATAGGTTTATTAGTCATTTCATTCATATAATTTAAATGTTTTATGACTCACTCACCTAAGACATAAGTTATTATTATCAAACAACTATTTCGATTAAAAAATTTAAATTAATAAATAAAATTTTAAAAATAATTTTATATTATTTTGTATCATATTTTTTAATTAAAAATCTTTTAAATTTGAAATTTACATTATCCTTATATTGTACTTAATTAAAAAAAAATAGAATAACAAGATTTAAATTTATGATCGTTTAGTTATTAAAATTTTAATAACATGTAAAAAAATTATATTAATTTAAAATTTTAAGTTAATTGGTAAAACTCGAAGAATGAATTTTTATTATTTTTTAAAAAAATCTTTTTCCTTAAATATCTTATGTTCTCGTTGCATCGCAATCACGATAAAGCATCGAGCTAAAGGCGGTGCAAGTAGTTTCCACACTAGCTAGAGCTTGCGCTAATGATATTTTGTCACATTCTAAGCACTGGAGAGGGGCTTGGTGCTCTGACCAGCCTCTAAGTCTACGGGTGCAACACCAAGTTGGGTATAATTGTTATCACTGTCCAAAAAGATTTTCTTGTTTCACTCAAGTCAATTGATCATTTCCTTTATCTAATTCAAATTTCTCATAATCCACTAACGTGGGATATAGACCATCACAATACCCATACTTTTTTTACCTGATGATGTGCTCTAGGCTACGTTTGTTTTAGGGAAAACAAGTTTCACAGAAAAATCAATTCATGAGGAAGCTATTTTTCTGAAAATTATTTTCCAAGAAGATACTTCGTTGTTTGACAATTATATGAAAAAGTTATTGAAAAATATATTTCAACGTTTGTTTGATACGGAAAATTAATATACAAAAACTTATGTGATTGTTATATCAACAAGTTTTGAAAAAATTTTAAAAAGACATTCATAATTTCATAATATAAGATACATTTAGAAAAATTTAATAAATTTTCATCAATACTAACTCTAAAATTTTAATTCAAAAAATAAAATGTATTTTTTTAACAATCAAACCAAATCATCAAAATTACTTGGGACAAAATTAAGTCAATATTCATATTCGGTAAAAAAAAGATTCTAAGTAATCTTAGCATTATTATTTTAGTAACTCAATTAAGAATTTTTTTTTAAAGAAATTGAACTAATAATTTAGTCTAAAAATAATTTGATAAATTATTTGTTATCATCTATAGATAATTATTTATTTGATCTCGAAAGATTAATGTTGAAATAATTTGTAACTAATTATTCATTACAATTACCAATAAAATTTTACAATTGATTAAAATTATAAATTATTGATTTAATTGCAAATGAATAGTGTTAAAAAATAATGTATTTATTGATGAATTAATTAATTTTAATTTCTTTTTACAAAAAATTATAGTTATGTAATAATCATTTTCAATCATTTAACTATAGCTTAGGTAGTGATTGAGACAATAGTAAAAAAAAAGAGATAAGTTATTGAAATATTTATTATAAAAATAATTTTAAGGTATAAAAATGGTTTTTAAGAATATTTAATGGATCTATAAATCAAAAAATCAAGTATTAGTAAAGTCTTCTAGTCATCCTTACCGTAAGCGAAATTCTTTTTCTTTTTTCTTTCGGTGATTGAAGTTGTAGTTCCTGCCGTTCTTGGTTGTTAATAATTAAATAATTAATAATAATTGATAAGAAATAATTAAAAATTAATATGATATATTTTAAATAAAAAGAAGATAGATAAAAAAAATTGTTAAATATATCGAGAGAGAGTTATGTAACGAGAGAGCGAGACGACTCGTGAGAAGGAAAATGTTTTCTTCTTTTGAAACTAATAAAACATTTTTCCAAAATTACTCTATCATTTTTCGTTGACTATAAATCATTTTCCATTGACTTTTTTCCTGAATGTGAAACAAACACTGAAAAATAGAGAAAACTTGTTTTCCCCCAAAAAAACGCAGCCCTAAACTTTCTTTTTTTAATAAGGATTATAGTAGTTAAAAAGAGAAAAATTATACGATAATAAATCTTTAATTTTTTTTTAAAAGAAAAAATCTTGCAGATACTCAATTTTTTACGAGAAAAAATTGTGACTATACTCACGCGCATAATATTCACATGGATTTTGAGTTAATTAATTTTCAGGAATAAAATTTCACTTGGCTTACCCTTAATTATAAACTAACTCACAATGTATGATGATTATTTCATGAGTCTTGTGATGCGAGTCGGATGCTCAAATTAAATTATCTTATATTAAAACGTAGATAGCAGCAACTAAGGGTCGAAACCATGAAGATTGTGTGATTAAGTTTAAAATATTTGATTCACCTAAAGAAAGAAAAGCAAATAATAACCTATTAAAATTAATAAAGTAACAAAATTATGTATGAGGTGGGGTTTGTCGCAATTATGAGCAGAAATTAATCAATTAAAATGCAAAAATAAGAATCAAATTAACATAAAAATTTAAATTAAAAACTATAAGATAAAACTTAAGTTAAAAGAATACTTATACCGTCCTTGTAAACTTGTTCATTGACACAAAAGAATAATCAATTCCAATTAAATAGTCAATTGAGAAAGTCAGGTTTAGACTTAAAATTCTTAGTCTTTTCTTATAATTAGTCTATTAAAAGATAGCTTATCAATAAAAATTTGACTTATAAATTAATCTCAAGACTAGGCTCTCAATTCAATTCAGAAATAACATTAGCAATAAGAAAGACAATTGCCATTAAATATTAAACACACACCAGCATGATTTATTCAATTTAATTTGATTTCTCCTAGAGAACTAACATTAACTTGTCCATTAACATTAACATCTATTGCTACTAATATAGAATCATCAATTGATAACAAGTTAATTCTAACTTAGCATTCGATTAAATAAACAAACTAGTCAGCAGTACTCCTAATCAATTCATTCATCAATCATTCACTACATAAAATAAAAGGAAGTCAGATATTCAATTGAAAAAAAAAAAAACAAGTCTCACAAGTTTATAGCGACGTTTCAATTCCAACTAAATGAAAAGAAGACAATTAGCTAAGCATGGTTTCTTCAAGAACACAAGAATAAAAGAAAGAAAAGTAAATTATTTTTAACCACCACATATTCACTTTTTCCGAATTAAACCCCATATTTATAACACAAAAAATCTGAAAAGACACATAAGAAGAAAGACCTAAAGTCAAATAATATTAATTCCTCCAATTAAATCACATCAATTGTAACTTATATTTTGCCACTCTCGTAAAGTATCTTCATTCTCTTTCAGCTACAAGTAATGTATCTTTTCCTCAAAAATATGATTTTTCAGCTGCCCAAGTATTAAGTCAATTGATTACATAAAAGAAACAATTATCTTTCAAAAATCCAGGATTAAATTTTAGGTTTAATGTTGTGACTTCAACACCAATTATGGATGAGTTAGAGGCCAAACTGGGTCTTGGGCTCTTGATAATAATTGTAGAACTTGATGTTTAATTCAATTTGGGATTTTGAATCACTTGGTAGAAAACTTCAAGTATGCTTTTTAAAGATTCAATCTTCGGGGAGAATTCTATGTTTAAGTTTCCAACTCGACTTTGAACCAATTTTTAACGGTTCAAACAAACTCATATTTTGATGCATAATATCATTTCGAAAAGTAACTCATATTTTGATGCATAATATCATTTCGAAAAGTTTGAGATGTCTTTTAAAACTTCATTGAAGATCATATATTTCGAATTTAAATTTAAGTCTACCAAAAACCTAAAAAAAATCTAGAATGTTTAAGTACTTAAAAGCTCGAAGCTTCCTATAATTAAATAAAAAATATCGAGGACTTCTATAGTCATTTTCAAAACACAAATACAATTCTAAAAAGCATAATTAGACACAAAATATAACTAAAAACTATAGAGTAAAGAGAATAAAAATATAGAATTATACATGTTATCATCTTGTCAAGTTGGAAGGATTAAACTAAAAAAGAAGAAGGAAATCTTCACAATTAAGGAGCCATACAAAAATTCATATTTCAAGTCAATAATTGATGTCTCCTTAGCTTAATTAGCGACTTAGGTCTCTAGTACTTAGCTAAAGAAGTTAGATGTATCTCTAATAAATGTTCCAAAGATGAGCTAGATGATATATAAATCTAGAGAGGTTTATAAGTACATCCATATTGAATTAGTCCAGATGAGATTAATTTTATTAATTAATTTACCGGAAGACAGCCTAGTAATAACAATCGTCTAAGACAAAAGGTGGAAAGAGTTTAAAGATCAGCTGATGTTAGGAGTACAAACAAACTTGGCCCACGATCCGGTTTGGTTCCAAGCCTAAACAGGAATAGGGTTCTAATTTATCAATGGGAAAGAAGAATAGCAAGTAAGCCGCGAGAGAGCCAATTAAGCGGAGAGAAAAAACCCAAACGTGAATTCAATTTTTTTTAATTGATTTTTTAGAAGGCTTGAGGCAAGTTATTTAAAATATAATTTTAATTTTTTAAAAATCATAAGAATTCATCATATGTATTATATCAATATATAAAAACAATTAAATAATAATACTCTAAAATTTTATTGAAAAATCATATATAAGGAAAAATAAATTATATTTATTAAAAAAATAAAATTATATAAAAATATACAATTAATTTTATGAGAATTTATATAGAAAATGACAAATAAAAAAATTAATTTTAAATAATAAGAGTAATATAATCCAAAATATATATTCATTCTAAATTTTAAAAATATATTATATATATTTCATCACCCTCAACCTATGCGAAAAACTAAAAAATAATGATTGATTTTTTACAATTTTTACACCTAATTTAATAAAAAAAAATTGATAAAAAAAGCAAAAACATAAAAAAGTAAGAAACACACACTCATATATATATCAAATAAAAAATTAATTTTTTTTTTAGATTCCAATCTATTTCTTTTAATTATTTTATGACTTAAAATTATTATAAACACACTTTTCTGATCAAAATAAACAATATGAATAAAGATTGATCACAAAAGAGACTGAAATTAGAATCGATTATGACTTTTTCTCTTTTTTCTGTATTTAAGAATGAAATTGAGATCTAAATAAATTTAAAAGCTAAAATAAATTTTTTTAAAACATCAAGGATTAAAATATAATATAGAAAACATAGATATTAATATCAATATAAATTAAAATTACGAAAATATTACTGCATAGTATACATAAGTAAACTATAAATGAATAATACTTAATAATAAGTATATGAATATTATAGTAAATATTATTTTTGTAATTAGTGTCTCCGTGTTTCCAGAATTACTTTTCTCCACTCGGTTTAGAATGATTGGTCAGTGAGCAAGTGACAGTGCAATGCCATTTGCATTTGCGTGGGCAAATCTGCTATGGACATTGGTGCCACGCACGTTCCAATCAGAGCGCCATATGACCGTCGCCAAAAATCCTTCATTGAAGTGTGGGAAAGGGGATACTGTGATTAGGTAACGCGTCAATAACTTTATCAAATTACCCAATTATTATACAAGGCGTAGGGTGACAAAATCTTCCAGGTCGGTGACACAAAAGAGAGTCGTCTTTGAAAAAGCATGCATAGCCATTGCTTGCTGGACGACATTTTGTCATAAATTGATATAAAGTCTTCATATAAATAAAACTTAAATCTGCTAGGGGAGTCGGCTTGAAAAGCGAAAGGTGAAAGAAGGAATCTTCAATGTAAAAGGAAAAGCATCATCTTAACAAGTAAATTAAATCTACTAGAATTGGTTTCGCAGAGACAATTTTGGTCTAAAGATGTCCTTGCACATGAAGTTAGCACCTTTATTTTTCTATCTCCACCTTCTTTTCCCTCCTTTTCTTCCTTCCCACACATTCACAGCCAAGAACCCACTATCGCTATCCTTTCTTTGATCATATCTCTTTAATTTCTTCACACTCTTTCCCATTATATATCACCTCTCTATAAACCCAAAAACACTCCTCTTTTCTACACTCCGAAATCGTATTTCTACACTTCACCAACAATGTACTATTGCACCCCAAAAAATATATATATAAAAAAAAAACCCACTATCACATTACTCACTAGCTAGTCTGCTGCTTCAAGTTAAAATACCAGTACAAAATAATGGCCCCAAATCAGAAACTAATAGTTGAGGTTGTTGATGCGCGGAATCTCTTACCAAAAGATGGCCATGGAACCTCGAGTCCATACGTTGTGATCGACTTCTATGGGCAAAGAAAGAGGACGCAATCAGTGATTCGTGACTTGAACCCAACATGGAATGAAATACTTGAGTTCAATGTTGGTAAACCATCTAATGTTTTTGGTGACATGCTTGAACTCGATGTTTACCATGACAAGAACTATGGTCCTACTAGAAGAAACAACCATCTTGGCAGAATTCGATTAGGTTCGAGCCAATTTGTTAGAAAAGGCGAGGAGGCTTTGATCTATTATCCCCTGGAGAAAAAATACTTGTTGAGTTGGATACAAGGTGAGATAGGGTTAAAGATTTATTACCAAGATGAGGTTATACCACCGCCACCGCCACCGCCACCAACACCACCAGCAGAACCAGCAGCAGCAGCGCAGGAAGAGGAAGCGAAGGCGGACACTAACAAAGAGACTTCACCACCACAACCAACAGCTGAAGCAGTGGTGCCAGCAGAAACTGAACCACAACAACCAGCTGAAGCTAAAAAATCTGACTTAGAAACAGGGGCCACGACAGAGTCAAATAAAGAGGAACCTCCTGAAGAAGAAAAGCCCAAAGAGGCACCATCAGCTCAAGCTGAAGCAGGGGCAGCGGCAGCGCCACTGTCAGATAATGCACCAGCACCTATTCAAGTTGAAAAACCACCAGAATCTGATGGGTCACCATCACCACATCCACAAGAATCTAGTGGTCAAAACAAAGAGGATCCGTCACCAGGCCCAGCACCAGTAAACAAGCCTGTCCAAGATGACGGTGACATCGTTTTAGAGCCTACATTCAGTAAGTGGGGACCGTCACCACCAGAAATAATGGCAGCTTCAGTGTCAGGATCAGTTCCTGAAATCAAAATAGCAGGGATCAACGCTCCACAACCCATTATAAGGCCAGTGGCTCCCACCTCGAATTACACATTAGAACCACAGGAAAGTTTGTCAATCGAACGATCAGCATTTGATCTCGTTGAAAAGATGCATTACCTGTTTGTTCGGGTGGTGAAGGCACGGCACCTCCCAACCAATGGGAACCCAGTTGTAAGGATTGCAGTTTCAAACAGCCGCGTACAATCAAAACCCGCTAGGAAAACATCATGGTTCGAGTGGGATCAGACATTTGCATTTGGCCGCGATGCACCTGATTCCTCCTCTATACTCGAAATTTCAGTGTGGGACCCACATGACCCCAGATCATCCGAAATGGCAGCAGCAGCAAATTTCCTGGGTGGAATTTGTTTTGATGCCACGGAGATCCCATTGCGGGACCCGCCAGACAGCCCCCTGGCCCCGCAATGGTACAGGCTGGAAGGAGGTGGAGCCTACAGCAGCGACTTGATGCTTGCCACGTGGGTAGGGACGCAAGCCGATGACTCATTTCCTGATGCATGGAAGACCGACACAGCTGGTAACATCAACTCTCGAGCTAAAGTCTACATGTCTCCAAAATTATGGTACCTCAGAGTTACTGTATTAGAAGCACAAGACATCTTTCCGTTAATGCCGTTAAAAGAAACCACAGTTCAAATCAAAGCCCATCTAGGTTTCCAAGTCCAGAAAACTAAGGCTTCAGTCACACGTAACGGCACTCCGTCATGGAACGAGGATTTATTATTTGTAGCAGCCGAGCCATTTAGTGATCACTTGATTTTCACATTAGAAAACCGGCTACCTAAAGGGCCAGTTACAATTGGGATTGTGAGAATCCCACTTACAGCTATTGAGAGACGGGTAGATGACAGGAAAGTGGCATCTAGGTGGTTCAGTTTTGAAGATCCAAAGAGTGAAAAATTGGGTTACAAAGGTAGGGTCCAACTGAGGCTATGTTTTGACGGTGGGTATCACGTGATGGATGAAGCAGCGCACGTGAGCAGTGATTACAGGCCCACAGCAAGGCAACTGTGGAAGCAACCGGTGGGGACTTTCGAGTTGGGTATTATTGGGTGCAAGAATTTATCACCGATGAAAACGGTAGACGGTAAGGGTTGTACTGATGCTTATTGTGTGGCAAAGTATGGCCCAAAATGGGTTCGGACCAGAACTGTGTGTGATAGCTTAGATCCTAAATGGAATGAGCAGTACACGTGGAAGGTTTATGACCCATGTACAGTGTTGTCTATGGGGGTCTTTGATAGCTCGGGAGAATTGGAGATAGACGGTGATAAAAATGCCACGCGTCCTGATGTTCGAATTGGGAAGGTTCGGGTACGTATATCTACGTTGGAGACGGGTAAAGTGTATAGAAATAGATATCCGTTGACCTTGTTGACTAATAATGGAGTCAAGAAAATGGGTGAGATAGAAGTGGCTATAAGATTTGTCCGTGCAATTCCAACATTGGATTTCTTAAACGTGTACGCACAGCCCTTATTGCCATTGATGCATCACCTGAAGCCGTTGGGAGTGGTCCAACAAGAATTGCTGAGGAACACGGCAGTGAAGATCATAGCCACACACTTGTCAAGATCCGAGCCGCCACTCCGACGAGAGGTGGTGCTTTACATGCTTGATGTGGACTCGCATGCTTTTAGTATGAGGAAGATGCGCGCAAATTGGTTTAGGATTATTAACGTGATTGCAAGTGTGATTGATATCGTGCGGTGGATCGATGATACACGTGTTTGGAAAAATCCAACGTCTACAATACTTGTGCATGCATTGCTAGTGATGCTTGTGTGGTTCCCTGATTTGATTGTCCCCACATTAGCATTTTATGTGTTTGTGATTGGTGCTTGGAATTACAGGTTTCGATCACGGGCCTCATTGCCTCACTTTGATCTCAAGCTCTCGTTGGCTGATACAGTTGACCGTGATGAACTTGATGAGGAGTTTGATACCGTACCGAGTAATAGGCCACCGGATGTGGTGCGCACAAGGTATGACAAGTTGCGTATGCTTGGGGCACGTGTCCAGACTGTATTGGGGGATTTTGCCACGCAAGGTGAACGACTGCAAGCATTGGTGACATGGGGGGACCCTCGTGCCACGGGGATTTTCGTGGGGCTGTGTTTTGTGGTGGCAATGATCCTGTACTTGGTACCATCCAAAATGGTGGCTATGGCATCAGGATTCTATTTTTTCCGGCATCCAATTTTTCGTGATAGAATGCCGTCACCAGCATTGAACTTCTTTAAGAGGCTTCCTTCATTGTCTGATCGAATCATGTAAGTTGATTGGAACCAATTAATGTTTTAGCGTACTTAATCTAGGTGAAAGCAGAAGATGATAGGTCAGATCCTTAATCAGTTTTGTTCCCCTTCTTCATTTAGTATTTACTGTTCACTGTAAGTTATCAGTTCTAGCTCCTTCCACTAAGCAAATAAGAGCGTTGATGAATAAACTACAACTTATTTACACTAATCGGTGAAAATGCAACAATGTTGTCATTTAAGTATTTGAGATGGATGTCCTGGTTCATGTAACATGCCGGGGCTTCACGATTAGTCGCTACGCGACGTCGGACGAGACCCTCAAAAGAAAAATTATTAAGTAGTTCGGGCGTTAATTATATACAAAATTATTTACGAGTTTTGAAGTCGCCATCTAGTATTTAAGGAACTAGGAACCTAAAAGTAGACTTGGTTCGGAGATTCCTAAGGTAAGGAGTTGGTTACGCTTTTAGGAAGATATTTAATCACTTAAAAGCGCCCTTTTCGAAAAAGGTACCATGTACGATTTAATTCTAAATTATCTCCTAAAATCCATGTAAAGCTATTTTCTAAATTTTAATCTCCTATTTTCTTTTAGACTAAGTGAATTTTTAGTTTTGGGTGTGGCATCATATTGAACCGATCGTCGGTCCCCTTCGTTGGGTGACACGTCGATTCAAACATCGGATCCACTAAAAATCTCGACACAACCGGCATGTCGGAGGACGTCTTAATTAAAAGTGATTTTGATGACGTCGCCCCTATCAAATAGGAGGCTTCGTCGAAATTTTTAGGCTTTTTTTTATGACGTCGGTCCCTATCGGATAGGAGACTTCGTCAAGATTTTTTTAAAAAAAAGAATGTATATCAAAGAAAAGAAGACAATAAAAAATTGAAATAGCAATTCTAAATTAATATAAGAAAACGACAATGAATAAAAATAAACGAGGCTAAAAAAAAAATAATAAATCATAAAAGAAAAAAAATCATCCTATATAAACAGAGTTAAAAAATAAATGAACAATAAAAGTAATTAAAAAAAAAATCCTATACCTAAAATATTAACCCACCACTTTTTTTTTTTTTTACACCCATCCCTATTTTTTTTCCTTTCTTTCTTCTTATTTTTGTTTAACTCTATTTTTATTTTTTTCATTTTTTTTTTTTTGAAGAAAGGGTGTGGGTCGGGCCCCCTTTTTTTCTCGCCTCGGGTTGAGCTGGATTTCCTTTTTTTCGGGTAAAGGGTGCGGGCTGGCTGAAATCAGCCCAACCCCTTTTTTTTTTTTTTTGCATCGAGTCGGGCTAGACCGAAATCGGTCCGGCCAGGTGCGTTTTCTTTTCCTTCTCCTTCGCCGGGCTTAAGCCCGGAAACGAGCCCGCGTCACCTTTTTTTTTTACTTTCCAGATCAAATCAAAAGTCGCTCGGTTTTAAAGTTTCTCTCTCCTGTTCTTCGTGTTCTTCATTTTCTCTCTCTAGTTCTTCAAGTTTTTTCGAAAATTAAAAACTCCTTTTTCAAATAACACATTCAAATCACACACACCATAATTCAAGACAAGAAACAAATGGCAAGTAAACATCTAACCTTAAAACGAACAACGAAGTAAAAAAAAAGAAAAAGGGAATCGAATTTAGGGACTCACACGGAAAACTTCCCAAGAACAACAAGATGAACCCGGAAAAATTCAATGAAAAACCCGAAATGCGAGCACCACGAGTGCTTGTTTCTCACGTATCGATTGAAACCTTGCTCTCGATTTCTTTTCCTCTACCTTAACGAACCAAAAGCTCCCTCGAATCAACACCAATGACGTCTCCAACTTGTTCCGGGTTGAAGAATACAAACCCGGAATAAGAACTTCAACCTAGAACCCGAAACCCAAAGAACTCGGCTGCCAAGAATCAAAATTAAATCTTTTGCTTCCGATTTTGAACTCTCTCTCCCTGAATTGTTCGCCTAAAAAAAAACCCCCTCATTTCGTGAAAATTGAACGTTTTATAGCCAATAAATTTCCTAAAATTGAAACGAAATCCCTGAATTTTCTCGTCAAAAATTTTCCTCTTTAATTCATGATTGATTGTGAAATCAAAACAGGAAATTCTCATTGATTCCCGTCGGTGTTGGTTTCGGCAACAAAATCCATGATTAATACCCAATCAAAAACACGAAATTCATGGAGGATTTGGGCGATTCTCCCAAAGATTTTCGGAGAGAATCTGCCTTGGAGCGAACCAAAGGTCGTTTGCTCCATTTCGGTCCTATCGTTCGCTCCAAACTTTCGGTTTGGTCCTCGAGTTTCAATTTCAGCAATTACGCCCCTCGCGAAATAATTTCAGTGTAATCTCAACAATTAGGTCCCCGGAGGTGCAATTTAAGGCCTAAACTTTTCAATTGACTCGATTACACCCCTAATTACTTCAATTGCACCCCTAAATGAATTTTTTTCATTTTTTCTTTTTCTTTTTTCATCATTTTCTTTCTCTCTCTTTTTTTTCTTTTTCCTTAATAAACTTCAAATTAAAAATAAATAAATAAAATAAAATACAATAAATAAATAAATAAATAAAAATAAAAAATAAGAAATAAGAAAATTTTGGATTATTACAACAGTTATAGACTTGGAGCTAATTCCAAACTGGGACTCGGTAATTTAGCAGAGAAGAAATGTTAGTGTGCCAAAGAACTGGTAGAAAAACCCAAAAGGAGAACATCGTGTTTCCAGATCTCCATTGACTGGGAATCTTGAATTGGAAGCTTTCAGTTTAAAAGGGTCACGATCATACCTCCAACTCAAGACTTTCAAGGCAGGGGTGGCAGGTTTGACAAGACCTTGTCTTGCCATCAAATCTCACTTTCCTGATCAAATAAAATGTGGAAACTGAAGCGTACAAGATTTAATATTGCTCTGTTTTGGATTGTCAGCATGTAAAACTAAGCTAATTGTATTGATTAAATCCTGCTATCTTGGAATATGTTGTTGATGGTATTGTTGCTTGCTACTGGTTACTTACTCCTTTCCATTATTGAATTATTGGATAGTCTCCTAAATATAACAATATCAACTACCTGTGTAGGGGCCATGAAACCTAAAATGGGGAATGTTTGCTCCATTCCATTAACTTCGTTCGTTGTTAATCTTAATATAGACTGATGGAGGCTTAGCTTTGAAAGAATATTTCCAATTCGACTGTGGAAAGATTTGCAATGTAGGGTTTGCAGGTATAAGCTATATAATAATAATAATGACTTTGTCAAACACTCAAACCATCATTTCACAATCCAAAAAATAAAGATTTTATTTCATACATAACAAAGTGTATCACATAATATTGCTTTTATTTTGGATTGTTGGTAGGTAAGAACTATACAAAACACTAAAAGATTTGGAGAAAGTCATCTTCACAATGCAGCGTTCACTTACACTCACTCATGTGCAGTGCAGTTTTACTGATTTTTTTTTTTTTTTAACATAAATCTGTGTTTAGCCATTTATATGCAAGTTTTATCCAATGTTACACTTTAGTCTTATATTTTTGAAAAATTTTGTATTGGTGTCCAACTTTATTTATATCGCATTTTAATCTCTAGATGCAAATAGGGAAGAGAAGCAAAAAGAGAGAAGAGAAGAGAGAGAAAACCATAGTTAGGTTCGATAGCGGTCTTTTTTGTCATTGATCTTGTATTCAGATTGTTTGTGTTAGTCAAAAAAGTGTGTTCATAGTGATTTCAAGTTATAAAATAGTTGAAGGACATAGATCGAAGCTCAAAAAAATTTAAATTTTTTTATTTGATTTAGCTTTTGTTTGTTTTTATTTTTAATGTGTGATAAAATACTTTTTAAGGCTCCAAACAAGTTTATCGACTTTATTTCAGTAAATTTAAGGGATTTCCGAGCAAAAATAATGCCAAAAATAGGCTCTAGAGGTCTCAAATTGGACCTTCGCTTTTCCAGCAAAGATTTCAGCGACGTTGCTGGCAAATTCGTGTTCTTTGAAAGTTGTAGGTGGAAGATGCGTCGCTGCCCAATGCAAGCAATACGTTGTTAATCTTTTTTTCGAAAAAAAAAAGTGGGTTACAACTCTGTGAGGGCCTATAGCATGCAACCCTGCATTTTTTTCCAACAATTTATTTTTAATTCTTCTTATTGTTGAATTGGGAGCAAAAATACCAAAAAATTAATAGTTATTTTTTTCACACAGATAAGAAATAATAAAATATATATGATATGTATTCAAATTTTAGAATGAGCATATATATTGGATCATATTATTTTTACTGTTTAAAATTGATTTTTTTTTAAGTTGTTGTTTCTTTTACAAAATCTCATCAAATTAATTTTAATTTTTTATTTATCAATAAATATGATTTGTTTTTATCTATGTATGGATTTTCAAAAAAAAATTTGAAACATTGTTATTTTATCTTTTTTAATACATTGATATACTTTATATGATGAATTCCTATGATTTTAAACGACAATGTTAAAAAGCTAAAAGTGTATTTCAATAATTTATTTCAAACTTTTTTTAAAAAAATTATAATCAATTAAAAATAAAATTCATGCGCTATATATAATTAAAATTTATCAGAATTAATTTTCTAGTTATTTTTATTTTAGTCTATTAACTTCAACATATTATTTACAACTTAATTTTTTTAATATTTTTTTATTTATGCTGCACGCTTTGAACTCACTAAGTATTATCATGATGTATATATATAAAAAATTGAGATTAGTTTTCTTTAGAAACTAACTAATCATCTACACGCATAATACATACCATTTGCTATTAATTTTTTTAATATTCTAGAATTATTTTCTTTTAAATAAAATAATTTATATAATATCTTAGAAGAGCCACCTAATGATTCAAATACAACTTTTTATACTAATATTATTGATTATTTTGTGATTAAATATGTATATAAATAAAAAAATTATATTTTTTTAAATAATCTTCTCATCGGTATTAAATAAGAATAAAAAATCATTTCTTAATCTTTATATAAGTTTTTATAT